TCTGCGCCTTTAAAGAACTTTTTCATAAATTCAATTGGCTCATTTAAATGTTGTCTTCTTTTCGCTTCAGAACTTATTTCTGGTCTATAACTCTGCGCTTTTGAAAAAGAAATATTAAAATTGATTTTTTTGGGCTTCTAAACTATACAGTAATCGTGATTTCGGCTCAAGACTCTTATAAATTTCTATCTGCGCCTTCAAAGAAATCTTCGAAACTTTTGAAAAGCTGTTTTTGAACTAAACATATTTTTCGCTTCAGAAGTTGTTTCAGGTCCTTCCCCTCATTCTGCGCCTTTAGAGAAGTAATAGTAAAAATTTTTGGACTTCTGAACTCTACAGTAATCGTATTTTCGGCTCAAGACCTCTTATAGGTTTCTATCTGCGCCTTTAAAGAACTTTTTATAATTGCGATTGGCTGTATTCAGATATTGTCCGCTTCAGGACTTATTTCAGGCTTATCACTCTGCGCTTTTGAAAAAGAAATATTAAAATGGATTTTTTAGGACTTCTATACTCTACAGTAATCGTATTTTCGGCTCAAAACCTCTCTTAAGCTTCTATCTGCACCTTTGAAGAACTCGAAAATGCTCCTGCGCAAGGAGGATCTGTACAAACAAAGCGGCGCTGGTCAAAAATTGACCCGAAACTGACCAGAGAACGCCCGAAACTTTCAATATTTTATCGACTTCCCATCCGTTTTTGTTTTATCAAGGTTTTTCCGCCCCCTTTGCCCACATCGACCAGTCCAGCTCTTCAACCAATATATTGTACTTTTTTGGTATCTTGAAGGGGTCATTTAAGTGACCAGACAGTCGTCGAACCGTCGAGTGGGCGTCTGTTTGTCGTGTTAACAAGGGCCTTTTGACCAACTTTTTGATCTTTGCCTCTCTCTTCAGAAATCGCGATGTTTGTTGCCTTGTGATTTGTAGTTTATAGTCGATTTTGTGACAGTTTGGAGGTTGTAGTTTTAAATCTGCAAAGGGGAGAAAACCGATTTTTTCAGTTCATTTTTTGTGCGTACTTCTTGTTGACTTTTGCACCTGCTGGACTTAGAAAAATATTTATTTTGAACTTTTTTTGTTCCAAAAACTTATAACATTCTTCATTTCCAACCGATTTTGGAACTTTTGGTATCACTAGATCAGAAAAAAACCGTTTCTTGAAGGATACTCAATGAGAAAAAACGTTTTGCTCTCTCTTCTTGCTAATATTTTTGCACCTGCTGACTTGAAAAAAAATTGAAACTTCATTTCGTTGCAGTTAACTTCAAAAAACTTGAAATAATTTCATTATTTTGCAAAATTCACCTTTTTTGAACTAGAAGATTGGAAAAAGTTCAAAAAAATCTGCTCTAAAAATGCTTTTTTCCACAGTTTTTTTCAACATATTTTTATAAGAAAAAAACTTGCCTCATTCAATAAAATGTATTCTACTTGAAGAATTAAAAATCTCTTTCGAAGAATAATTACACCTTTGATACATAATTGAACGTTTTAACAACAAGAAATGATGTTTGAAAAACTTGCATTTTTATACTATGTTTGCTCAAAATTGTATATAATTTTTCGAAAATTGAGAAAGCGAGAAAAAAAGATACAAACTGGATCAAAAGTGGAAAGTTTGTATACAGTAGTCCCTTCAGAAAAACAATTTGAATCGATTTTACGATTTTTTGATAAGATTAACATGATTCATGTATTTTTTGAGGCTGATTCAGGATAAATGCTTAAATTTTTCACGAAAACGTTTTTTTAAGCAGAGTTATGGCTAGTCTTACATTAAAAGAAAAAAAAATTTTTTTGAATGGTTAAAAATTTTCACAAAAACGTTTTTTTTTTTTGATTGTACAGGTTCAAAATAAACAAAAAAAAACATTTAGTGATCAGAATCTCAATCAGAAATGCCATACTAAGTGAAAAAAAACCAACACCAGTTTTTCAGTATCCCTTCTAGGGAATGGTTCATACTATCATTTATTGGTGTGGTTTTCAACGCTGATTCAGAATATAAGCTCAAATTCCAACAAAAATGCCTTTTAACAGAGTTATGGCCAAATAAACGGATACTAATGAGTTTTTTTGGCGAGTTCTGCGCTTTTCTTTGATTTTTGCACCTGCTGGCTTGAGAAAAAATTTTTTGAAGGATCATAACTTTTTGTATAATTTTTACTGGCTTTTTTTGAGCATAGATTCAGGATCTAGGTGAAAAAAACTACATTTATTGAACTCAATCGCAATCAAAAGTGTTTCAAAAGTTTTTGATACAATATTCCTTTTAGGGAACGATTTTTCAAGTAGAATATTACTATTTTATCCAGTTTTTTTGATGCTGATTCGGATTTTTTTGCTTCAAATTCAACAAAAAAAGCCTTTAAGAAGAGTTATAGCTACTTAAAATGATAATAATGAGTTTTTTGCGCTTTTCTTTGATTTTTGCACCTGCTGGCTTGAGAAACATTTTTTGAAGAGTCATAACTTTTAACAGAAAATTTTTTGGCTTTTTTGCAGCCCAGATTCAGAATCTACGTGAATAAATACATTTTGTGATTTTATTCCCAATCAGAAATGTCATTTTGAGTTGTTCAGACCTTTCCCCATTGAACATAAGGGGGAATTTTTTTTCTTTTTCATCATTTTCATCAATTTTTATCATCATTGATGAAAATTAGACGATTCCCGGGGTAGGAAAATCAGGAAACGCATTTATCAGTCAGTATGGTTGGACTCGTGGGCAAACACACGTGCTTCTCTTCTTTTTTTCGTCTCTGATCTTTTGATCTTTTGATCTTGCTACCTTTCTCGCGCGTTTCCAGGTGTTTTCCAAAACATGAAATATTTGTTTAGTTACCTTTTTCAACGAAATTTTGGAATTTTCCAAGTTTCCACCCGTTTCTTGGTCACTTCAACGCACTGCTTGACGATGGAAAAAATAAATAAAAAATAAAATTTTTTTTTTAAAGTGATTAGTTGGGTTATTTTTAAGCTTTCTTAATGGAAATGGGAATGAGAAATTCTACAGTTTTCAGTCCTTTTTCTGGATTTTTTCCATAAACTGAATATTTTTGCAAGAAAATTTTCGGTTGAAGCTTGAGTCTTAAAATCTTGATCATTTTTCGAAATTTTGAGCTATGAAAAAAATTAAAGCTGGGAAATATTCCCATTTTCAAATGCAGAAAAAAATCATGAGCTAGAAATCCATCCAAAATTTGACGAAAAAAACTTGAGCTTTCCGAAAAGTTTGCATTTTTTTATTTTGAAAGGGGATACTACTAAAAAAAATAGGCTTTTTTTCTAGATTTATTACTTCAAAATCAATTTTTCTAAAGCTCCAAACTTGTCCTTGAAATTTTTCTTCAAAATTGGTTTCCTGAAAGATCCAATGATTCATTTTTAGAGTCGAGAAAAAAACCAAATTTTTTTCAAAAATCTTTCAATTTTTCTACTCAAAATCCGCCTGGAAATGACCAAAATACTCAATTTTTCCAACCTCAAAATTCAAACTAGACTATTTGCATGCCTCACGAGACTTCCTAACGTTTAAAAGTGTCTCACGAGGGTAAAGATTGGACCAAACCGAAGCGATTAGATAAGCCCCGCGATGATCGATGACGTCACGACCGCGACGCGACACGCGTCGCGTTCCGAACTCTACTTATTTACACGTTCAAAAAGAAACCATCGAACAGGCCACGCCCCTCGAGCTCCGCCCATCTTGAACTTTTCTCCGAGTTCTTGCACTGAAAAATCTTTGCAATTTGTTTGACTACCGTAATCTCTTGACTTTCTAAAGTGTCCTTGGCGATTCTCAGTTTGGATACAGTAACCTGTTATTTGGATACCGTAACCTGTTATTTGGATACCGTAACCTTTGCAACTATTTCTCAAGAAAAAATGATAAGAGTTATTGTAGTTTTCCTAAGTTACTGTAACTTTCCGGAAAGCTACAGTAAGCCACTTTCTGCCTAGATTTTTATTATAATGCGATTTTTAGGAATTTTCTGAGATAAATGTTGACCGTAATTCTCAGGGCTACCGTATCTCCAAGTCTGAAGAGCCTAAATTTCTTTTTTCTACAATGTTTTTTGTATTTTTCCCAGCTTTGGTCTTATTTTTCGTCACCGTACCCATATCCTTCTACCGTAACCCCTTATATAAATTCCATGCCGCATTTGGAATGGCTTATTCACTTTTTTATTCGAAATATCACAGAATAGAAGAAATCCACCCCAAAAAGCTGCCCCAAACTCAATTTCCAAAAGTTTTGTGTGTAGTTTGGAACCTCTTATTATGGCTTTCGCTTCCAAGGAAGATAATTATACTTTTTGTGTGGGAACCCTCTGAAAATAGCCAGAATGATCTTTGATGTCTAAAAATAGAGATTTTAAAAGTTTCCTCCTGCAAGAATTTTCCTTTTTTAGAATGAAAAAAAAGCTATTGTAGCACTTTGAAGCCTTGTTTTTCGGAAACTAGAAGGTTTTGTAGTTTAAAACTTTGATAATCTTCAATTAGTACATCAAAAAACATTCTGACCAATTTTCAGAAAATTACAGGGCTCAAAGTAGAATCACCTTCTTGTTGGGGAGAAGCATCGAAAATCTCGTCCTTTTTCATTTTTCTCAATTTTCCAATATTTTATTCAATCTACACAACCTCTCATGTGAAGATAATAAAAAATTTTGCTCTACAGTAGAGTTTTTTTAGGCGAACTACAGTAACCAGGCGCTTTTTGCAGCGTTCTTCAATGGAAAAAAAATAATTAAGAAATTTCGACTCATTGAAAAAATGGAATAATAAAGGAAAAGCTTATTTTCTGACCAACCTAAATAAAAATTAAAATTAAAAAAGAAATAACTTAGTTAGGAAGAAAAATTCAAATTCGGACCTTTTAAATTTTTCACGCCTTCGACGCATTGATGAATTGACTATATTTGACTTTTTTGCTTCATTGTGATCTTCCAGGTCAACTACAGTAACCAAGCGCTTCGCCGGGTCCCGCAGCGAATGTTCTCGACGCTGCCGCCGAACACGATAGACGACCTGCTGCGACAGTCGACGGCGATCCACGAGCTGGCGACTCGGTTCGCCCCGACGCTGCTCGCCATGGAACAGCCCAAGCTGAGTCATCTGGGCAGCGGCCCGAGCACGAGCTCGGGCCATGGCTTGGGGCCAGGGCCGCTGCAGTCGTGTGGCCGGGGCAGACGCAAAACCTCCACCAACAATCTGATTTGTGTCGTCTGTGGCGATCAGGTGAATAATCTGATTTTTTGGATGATTTATGCAGGGTTTTTTTTCCAATTGATTTTTTTCAATGTGGGAAAACGACTATTTCACGAATTATAATTTTATTCGAAAAAAAAGAATGAAAGTTTGAAGATTTGGCTATCTAAAAAAAAGATAAGCAGGATATAGTCCATTCGCCGCGTTGACAGTTCTCACGTGTCTGCGTCTCTCTGTTCCCTCGAGGTCAGAGAAACTTGGAAATAGCACGTAAACATGAGAGGGACGTCGAGAGATAAGAAGGGCGCAGAGAAATCCGAAAAACGAATTATACAACTCTCAAAAAGCTGATTCACGGCTAACTCGGGACGATAAGGGGGCGTGGCCTGTCTGCGCTCTCAACGAGCCAGGCACTTTCTCGTACATTACCGTGTCGGGACCATTTTTTCGATGGCTCAAGCCAGCCCGTGAACAAAAAATGCCAAAAAAGTATTTTTATCTTTTTGAAGCCATTTTGAGCATTTTTTCGAGGTTGAAGTTTACTAAAGGACATCCATTACTGTCTTAGCTCCCTGAAAATTCATTTTTTTATTTGATGTTTTTTTTTTGGAGTTTTGTAATTTTTTCCAATGAAGGTTTTTTTTTATAACCAAGTACGAAAATATAGAAAGGATCGTGATTTTTTTTTTCGGGCTAATTTTTCCGATTTGCCAGGCCTTCGGAAAGCATTACGGCGTGAACGCCTGCAACGGCTGTAAGGGATTTTTTTCGCAGAAGGTAAAGATCTTTTTTTCAATTTGAATAAGCAACTGAAAAAAAATTAATACATTAATTTTTGTATGTCTGGTTTCAAATCTGACCTTTAAATTTAACTTTTTTTATTTATCTGAACAAAACTTTTTTTCCTATTAAATAAGGTTAATCATTTAGTAAAACCTTCATCCTCACTGATAAGACAAAAAAATAAATAGCTGAATAATAAATATTATTTTTCAGCGTCTGGAACAACCGCCAATACATGTGCCGGTTTGACGGCCTGTGCGCCATTGCTAAAGGTTTTTTTAAAAAAATATTTTTTTAAGCCATTTTCGTTTATTTTTCTTTTTATTTATGATATCTATGGGAGCATATAAAAAAATTGACGATGAATCAAAAAAACATTCAAAACTGTTAAAACATGAAAAAAATTCAAAAAAATTCAAGGATCTTCAGCATTTCTTTGAAAAATTTGGAACAGATAGCATACGAAAAAAAATTAAAATTAAGCAAAAAAATACGAAAAAAATTAGCATCGACTTTTTTTATAAACTTAACTGATTGTCATTAATATTTTTTTGGACGTTGGGACCCTTATTTCAAAAACTGAAATGAACTTTCTCAGAACACCGAAATGTGTGCAGAGCCTGCCGTTTGAAGCAGTGTTTCTTGGCCGGAATGAATCCAAGAGGTACAGTTCTAACTGAATTTGATGTTTCTACGTCTTGACAAGTTTCAGCTGTCCAATCTGAACGAGAACAACGCGGATCCGTCGATCAACAGCAGGAAGAAGACGACGATTCGACCCAAATGTCGCCCGATCGGTATTTCAATTCACTTTTTTCATTGGGAGAAGTAGAAAATTCAATTTTTTCATTTTGAAATGAGTTAACACTCATCTCTGTTTCCGATTTCGATCAAAAGGAAGTTGGATTTTTTTGACTGTTCTTGGTTTTAATTGCCATATTTCTATTCTTTTCCTTAAAAGGGCGGTCCCTTCACCTCTTGGTTAAAAATTTCCGAAAATTATCGCCTTTTTTGATCCTTGAGGTTTGAATCCTGAATATTTTCTAGTTTTGAAGAAAATAGGAGTCAAATATTGAACCATTTGAACAGTTTTTTTCGTTTTTGACCTGGATTTTCTCAAGAATTATCAAGTTTCAAGGGTTGAGATTTTTAGAATCGTCATTTAATAAATCAAAAATAATTTTGGTGAAGTTTCGAGAAGTTTCAGAACTCATGTCAAAGAAAATTACCTTCCTAGTGGGGACTTTCAAATTTGTACCCTTTCTGCACGAAATTTTGCAACCCAGAACCATTTTGAGATCAAGTAGCCTTTTTTTTTCTCCGAGAGAAGTTCAACTTTTACCTGCCCACTTGTTCGTCTATTTTTACACGAGAACAAACCGTATTTTCTTTTTTCTCATTGCTCTCTGCAAACACAGACGCGGAACTTTGAACTTTCAATGGTCATCGATTTTTTTTTGTGGATTTTTCACGTCATAAAATAAGCAAGTTGCAAGTTGGGTGGTGATTTTTGGGACAGGTGAAAGGGAAGTTGGGGGAAATGAGTCGAAAAATTGGAAAAATAGTATTTTATTGGTCTTTTTTGCGACATATCAGAATTTTTCGTTAATAGAAAAATGCAGTTTTAACTTTAGAAACGCCAGAGTTGTCCCTATAGTGTTTGGGAAGAAAAAAAGCCGCCTTAGGTGACAAAAAAAGCGGCCCCTTAAGGGGTAAAATTTAGGCAATCAGGGACCCTCAATTTTGCCCCTATAGGGACCACTCTGGAGTCCCTACAACTTTGAGAAGGCGGAAATTTAGAAAATAATTTGTTTTTTTTTCTCAAATGAGGCTGTACTGTTAAAAAATTGCATGAATAATTCAAAAATTAGTGTCATCATCATTCATTAAATAGAATAATATAATAAAAAAATAGAAGTTTTTTTGAACTTTTTTTCAAATGCATTTTTGTGATATCTGTTCAAATTTCTACCAGTTTTACTATTAAAATTCTTTTTTTCTTCTATAAAATTATTTTTTTTCCAGTTGCTCCGTCGAAATTCAAACCGATTGGGCTGTGAAGAGCGAGCCGATTTCTTACACCTTTGACGATGATCTTCAAAGGTAATTTTATCGATTTTTGAATTTTTATCTTATGTTTCAAAAAGTTTTTGTTTGATATGAATTTTTCTTTAAACATAAAAGTTTTTAGATACGCCGAAAGACTCGTTGAAATGCACCGCGCAGTTTGCTCCAGAACCGATCCTAACACTGACCATACTCAAGGTATCAATTTCACTCCGTATCAATAGTTCGCTGCGCACCAACTCAAAGTTCCTACGACAAAAGTTCTTGTGACTCATCCAATTAGCAAACGCGCGGAGTGTGTGTTTCTCCTCGCGCCATTCGCCCTCGCCGTCCGTTGTGGTCTAGTGGTTAGGATTTACGGCTCTCACCCGTAAGGCCCGGGTTCGATTCCCGGCAACGGAAGAAAATTTTTTGCCATTTTTCCAACACTTGAAAATCATTGTTTTTCATAGAACCGACATCTTCCACCAGCGTTTCTTTCATCAGCGCGTTTTACAACACTGCGTTGATGTCTCCAAGGACGCCGGTACCACTTTTTTGTTTTTATAATCACGAACAAAGATTTTTCAGTTGATAATAACTGGGGAGCGGATTGGAACGATGCGCGATGTCGTGCAGGACTGGAGGCGGAGTTTCGTTCTTTTTGCGGATTGGTTGAGAGCCCTGCCAGAGTTCAATCAAATGGACTATCATGATCAGGTTTTCAAGAATTTTCGAAAGATATAAAGAACTTTTTTGCAGATAGTTCTGGCAAAAAATCGCTTCGGTCCATTTTATTGGTGGATGTGTGCAAATTGGACGGTGGCTGCGGGTTGTGACGGCGTTTGCTATGCCAATGGAGCGTACTTTCCCAGGAAACCCAAGCTTCAATGTCTACCTGATGTTAGGTAGGTCGCGAGTGGTATTGAAATGCGCCCGACTGTAAAACGACTTGCGCGCGGGGTTATCGTAAAATTGAACCTCTATCTTACTATGGGACGTTTTTTCCACTCCGGTATAAAGTTCACTTGAAACCGAAAGGATATGTGAATAATTTGGCTTCCCAGAGGTTCAACTGACCGTATGATGGCCCTCTTGGCGACACCAATCCGAGAACTTCAACTGGATGAAACTGAAAGGGTTCTCATGTTGGCCGTGATCGCCTTCAGTGATGGTGAGCTTTTTCATAAAAGGAAACGTTTCCGCTAGTTCAGTTCATTTTTTTAGTTGACTGATTCTCTTGACACGCTCAGAAGCTCCAGAGTGGTCCCTATAGGGGCCCTTGAAGGCTCTTCATTTAGGGACCACTTCAGTAACCTCTATGGGGGCCAATTAAGCTTCAAAAAGTGGCCCCTATAGGGATCGTTCTTGTCGTTGATTGTCATGAGGTCTATGAGAAGGAGCATTCCTATGCAAAAAAAACTCAAAGAACATTTTTTAAATTGAAAAAGGTCAATAGAAAATCAATCTATCTATTTTTTACATCTTTTCGATTTTTTGATCTGAGCCAAAAATAAAGACCCTTAAAGGGACCACTTAAGCTTTACGGCCTTTGGGGCTCCAACCTAAACTCCTATAGGGGCTCTTTTTCTCCCTAACCCCTATAGGGACCACTCTGGCCTTCCTAAAAGGAAGGTGGTTTAATTTTGCAATCTGAAATCTCTTGAAAATCACTCTTTCAAGGCGTATTTTCATCTTAAAATCGTTCCTTAATTTCAGAAAATCCCAACAGTTTCCAATGCAGTCCCCCAAAGTCGTTTTAGAAATTTCAGAGCTGTCGGACCTGACGCCGACGGGCAAGGAGCACGTTCGGCAAGTGGGAAGCCGCTTCGTCAGAATGCTCCATCAGCACATCAGAGCGAGGGATTACGGTGGCGGGTACGGTAGTCCCGCGGGCGAAGATTCCTCGGCGGCGGTCCGGATCGGCAAGATGATGATCCTGCTGTCGGCCACCACTGTAAGGGATTCAGGGGTTTTCAGGATGGATAAGATTTTTTTGTAAATCGAAAATCATCAAAAAAAAAGTTCATTTGCGCTCCACTGATAATCAAAATCACTCGGACCTTGGTAAAGTAAATCGGGCGCTTCAGAGCTCCAAGGGATCCCTTTAGGGGCTTCAGAACTCTTAAGTGATTGCTTTAATTGCTCAGGAACGTCTTGCGTTACTTCTTTCAAAGTACTTTAGGTCAAAAAATTATTCCTTTTGCCCAAAGTTTCAATTGATTGGTCGCAATTGGAATGGCTTGAATTTTTTGATTTTTTAAGCTTTTCAATGTTTCATGTATCAATGAATTTGTATGGTAGAGAAAAATAGCCCCGCACTTTTGAGTGATTTGCGCTCCATGGACAAAAATACTGGTCCCCTTTTCGAAAGGGCCTTATTTCTTCATAAAGTAAATAGAAATTAGTAGATTTTTTTCTCCAAATTAAAAACAATTTTTTTCCAGCTTATCATGCGCTCTGATTTTTTTGATTTTTTTAAAAATTTGAAATCAACAGTTTCTTCTAGAACCTCGTCTACCTGACCTCCGACAATATCCAGCTCAACGACGTCCTTCACCTGGTCCCGTGCGAGTTCAAAAGTTCCACCGAACTACAAGTTGTTCATGAGTCATTCCGCAAATTTTGAGAAAATCGTTTTTTTTTTCGTCGTTCTTATGTTTTCTTCCCGAGTTTTTTTTTGAGGTTCAAATTGACAAGGAATGATGACGTCATGTTTCGTCTCGAAGTTTGATAATGACGTCATTTTAAGGCATCCTCAGTTCCACTTTCTCTAATGACGTCATAGCTTTCCAAAAAGTAGTTTTTGAAAATAAAGTGACGTCATTAACTCAATTTTGACTGAATAAATTTTTTTCTCCGTCATATTTCTTTTCAAAATTACTAGTGAATGTTCGATGACGTCATCTCTGAGTTTGGGCTATTTATTCATGACGTCATTATTTTTTTGAAAAAAATAATAATGACGTCATGAATAAATATTTCCATCTTTAATCACGTCATTGGTCTCTCAAAAATAGAGTTAGAAAAAAATGACGTCATCAACAAAAATACAGTTTTTTTCTCGTATTATTTTTTTGAATTTTTGTAATCTGAATGGTCGATGACGTCATTTTTATTTTTTTTTTCTGATTATTGATGACGTCATCATTCATTTAAAAAAATTGTGACGTCATTTCAGTATCACTCTTTCTCAAATTTCCATTCTTGAACCCTTGAGTGGTCACTTGAAATTGTTTCTTTCTGTACAACTTTTCATTTTCTGTCCATATTTTTGATGTATCTATATTTTTGCGGGTTTTTTTCTTATTTTTTTTTTTCACGCTTAGACCTATCTCATTTTTGGTCTTTGAAACGTTTTCCCATGAGCTTTATTGTCATATTTTATCCTATTTATTTCCTTCTCATTTCAACTACTTCAAAATCCTGGTGATTTCCTGCGTTTTGGTGTTTCATGAACATTATAAATATTTTTAAAGATGAGTCTAATATTCGATGGTCTTCTAGAAGATTTTTAAAAAAATCTCTCCAGATTTCTTATAAAAAATGAAGGGACAATATTATTATTTTGAGAAAAAAAGGTGATTTTGAACTGTTAAAATCATAAAGTTCATATTTATAAAACAAGATTCTCAGTTTTCATTAATGGAATAAAGAAGGTTTATTTCTACAAAAGCGAATTTTAAATGTTTTTGACATCCAAGCACTACATTCTTCTAGAATTTTTTTTTATTTCTTGGAGGGACTATTTTTCTCCATGGAGCACATTTTATTCCAGCTCCGAGATTATTCAAAAATTTATTACAATAAAAACTTGATACCTTTAGTTTTTTCTGCTTTGATATTGAGGATTAATGGTCAAATGTTCACTGTTCTCTTTTTTTTTAGCTTCAATAAAAGTTTTTTTGTCCTTTTAAAAATTATAAAAACTTCGGCAGTATGTTAATTTTCGTCGGCGGTGCATGCACAAGAAACATCATATTTGACGACTTTTTCGGGCTAGGGGAACGCCGTATTTCACAATTTAAATTTTTTTTTGTTAATGAATTACACGAAAACTTAAACTCTACATGGCAAGCTATTTTTTTACAAAATATATTTTTTGAATTTTTCCGTATTCTTTCCAAAATTTTGAAGTTTTTCGAAAAATTTTCAATTTATACGAATCTTTTCCTCTTTTTTCTATTAAGTTTATCTCTTTTTCAAGTATACCATCGAAGAAATGCGCGAAAAAAGAACTTTTTCTTTTTTTTTTTCGAAGTGCGGAATGATGTTCTACATGGCGGAAGAACACCTGTCGTGAATGGGGCTCATCGGCGGCCTTTTTTTGAACTTTTTTTGCCGCGTTTTGAACTTTTTAGATGGATCGGAAAGATGTCGGAGGCATTTTCGATGATTTGTGCGTTTTGAATTGAAAATAAAAACACGATTTCAACCCTGAAAATGAAGGAAAAAGCTTCGAAAATTTGTTTCTTTTTAAATTTTTTTAAAAAAATTTGTGTCATGAAATTGTCCAGCATTCTTTCAAAACTGTATTATTTTTCAGAAAGTTCATCAAAAAAATTCAGGATAATTTTTCAAATAAATAAAAAAATTCAGCTTTTTTTCTGAACAGGGGAGAATCAATTTTTGAAGATTTCAACGTTTCGAAAACTTTTTTCATTAGATCTTTATGGAAGGCTCAAAAATACCGCCTTTTTGCTCCAAATAATCTTTTTTAAGGGGTTTTAACTGAGAAAAAGAAAATATTGAGTTTTCATGGGTTCCAAGGCCGCGTTTGGAATGGATCGATGCGTCGCGGTCGCCTTCATTATCTTATAAAAAGTTCATACTGTGTTAAATCGGGCTCTGAGCGGGTGAGCCCGTACTAGGCCCGTATAAGCACCGCTGGTTGAACTTTTGGCATTTCTTACTACTTCTGAGGCACCATTTTTACATAGTTAAATATCCGGTTTTTCGAAAAAAAAAACACTGGTGGGTTAACTATTTCTTTCTACGCCCGATGATTTCCCGTTTGCGCACACCTCGGGCGTAAATATCCTTAAAACTGCGGGTTTTACACGGGTACACCCGTTGAGTCACCTGCCCATCATGATAGTAGTTAACTGAAGATGTTTTCAGAAAGATTCGGGCCATACCAAAAACTTCCCACTTTAACCTTTTACCGAGCCCTTTCAGCTTGAAAGAGAGCCCCCACTTACTCATCTCGGAGCGTCCAGCGACAACAGCTGATATGCTCTCGGGATTGTTGCCACAACTCCATCACAACAACCGCTTTAAACATTTGATTGCTTGAGCGTATTCAAATTGGTTGTAAGAAGTCGCGTCGAGCATTTTATGAGGCTTTTGGCCGGGTTGGCAACTATGAGAAGCTTGTTCTTCGTTTTGAAATCTTTGGAAGCTTGGAAAATCTTTAAGTTACTTATAAATTACTAAAAAAAAAGGGAGGATTGAAAATTTCTTGAAGAAATGTTGAGTGAAATTGAAATATTAAAACTCAAACAAGTTTCTGCTCGGGCAAAGTCGAAATGGTGAATAATGGCCGCTGAAAAGGAGAGGCTCAAAAAGGCCGCAAAAAGGAAGAAAAAAGGCAGCAAAAAGGCAGCAAAAAGGGAGCAGAAAGGCAGCAAAAAAAGAGCAAAAAGGGAGAAAAAAGGGAGCAAAAAGGCAGCAAACAGGGAGCAAAAAGGCAGCAAAAAGGGAGCAGAAAGGCAGCAAAAAGAGAGCAAAAAGGGAGAAAAAAGGGAGCACAAATGCATCAAAAAGGCAGCAAAAAGGTCGCGAAAAGGCAGCAGAAAGGTCGCGAAAAGGGAGCAAAAAGGCAGCAAAAAGGTCGCAAAAAGGCAGCAAAAAGGTCGCGAAAAGGGAGCAAAAAAGGAGCTTTTTTTCACCTTTTTCGACTTTGGCTATATTATTGGGAGAAAAAATTCAATTTTTTTTTTGAACTCGGTAGCATAAAATTGGTCGCATTTGGAATGGCTTGAGGCGTCGCGGTCGGGAGAGCCATTCCAAGTGCGGCCATTAGACTCAAATCAGAGGATTCGAAGTGTTTTTTTCATGGCATTATGAGACACAAAAAAATCAATGAATTTTTCTTGATTTCAATTTTTTTGAAATTTTTCAGATCGGATTTTCCATCTTCAAACTTCAGAAATCGAAAAAAAGATAAAAAAATTCAATATTTTTTTATTTCAAAGAACAGAAAGTTGAAGCAAAAATACAATTTATAAGGAAACTCTTGAGATCTCATTCTCATCACAATTTGTACAGAGAAATGGGCAAATTGAAAAAAATCCTAAAAAAAGGTACCCGTATATTTAAATGAATTTTAAATTATTTCAACAAGGTAGTCCAGCTTCTCGTAATAACCGGAGCTCATCCTCGCTCATACAGCCGATTTCTTCGGGGTTTCCTGGAAATTTTCATTTTTATACGATTCTCGTTTTTGGATGTTATTGGTCGCATTGAGAATGGCTCGACGCGTCGCGGTCGCGTGGCGGTTTTTCCATTATCTATACTTTTTTCGTCGTTTTGGACAGTTTTGAAGCTAAAATTGAATTTTAAAAAATGGCAAAAACGTTTGAACACCGGGCGGAGTCGAACCTACGACCTTCCCCTCGTCATCAAGATTCCTTATTGACTGGATTTTAAGATACTAATATGAATTTTCACTGTTAAAGAAAGAAAGAAAAAAGAAAGTTCAGCATTTTTTTTTTCTTTGTCCCCCTGAAAGTTCTAGATTCCCCCTTCTAAAGCGCGCAAGTCGCTTCAAGGTCGGTTGCAGCCGTCAAAAATCGAGCCCCTTGAGACCATTTTTTCTCGATTTTTACGTCTCTACCTTCAGAAAGTTCGAATTGAACTTGTCCTTCCAAGGATAATCGGGATATTCGGCCCATCGCACGGACCCAAACGCCGTTGAATAAAAATGGGGCTGACTCGAAATTGACCTGGAACATTTTTTTTTCGAAAAAAAATATCGAAAAAGGTCGCGTTTGGAATGGCTCTAAGTGTCCCGGTTGGAGAACTAGCCATTCCAAATGCGTCCATGCGCTTCAAAATGAAATAATATAAAAACAATTGTTTTTTTGATGAATTTTTGAGCGTAAATTTGAAGTGGAAATAGAAAGTCTTGAAAAAAAAGATAAATAAAACTTGTAGGTTCATTTGGATGCTATAAAGTTCCAATTTTAATTTTTAAAATTCCAAAAATCTGGAAAAGTTAAAACATCCTTCAAATTTTACTACTTTCTTACTTTATTGAGAAAAAAAATGTTGAACTAAAAAAGTTCCAACAAACCTCGCTATTTGATGGAGGATCTATAGAATGAAGGGGCAGCGGAATATTCACTCCGGTTTCGATGAAAGTCTGAAAAAAAGTCATTAAAATTAAGATTTCATAATATTTTTATCATCTCTTTTTCTCTGATTTTCGATTTTTTTTTTCTGCCGTGAAAATAGCCTTTCTTCTGGAATTTACATTTTCTCCGTTTCTATAAGTTGTATTGTTGAAATAGCACTTGTTTGTATATAGTACCTGAATTCTATAACTGACCCGATTCGTGATTTTTGGAAGAAAGAAATTTATGTTTTTTGATGGAAAGGAAACGTTTTTCAATAATTTTAACATTTTTGAATGCCTTGAAATGACGGAAAGATGTAATTTTTAAAGGAAAAATAGTTTTCTTTATAGTCAATTTTCCCCGACTTGGAAGGCGAGGGAGGCGGGGCAAGGGGCGGGGACGCGTAGCGTGTGCGTACGCGTTTCTTGGCGCAACTTCAATTCAATCGCCGCCGACTACTTAAAAAGCTCGGCAACCGCTCTTTTTCTGTATTTTCTTCTATTTTTTGATGCACACATGAACATAATCAACAAATAATGAAAAAAGAAGTGAAAAGAGCGATAAATAAGCTTGAAATTGAACACGTGCCAAGAACCGCGTACGCACACGCTACGCGTCCCGCCCCTTGCCACGCCTCCCTCGCCTTTCAAGTCGGGAAACATTGACTATAACCATAATTTTCTTAAAGTTGTACTTCTTAGAGGTCCTAATCAGCTCAAAATGGTCTCACGGGGGAAGATAATATACCGTTCGACGCAAAATTCTAAAAGGTAGTGAAAAATTTTTCTCTAGATTTTCAGAGCTTTCGGCAAGTTCATAGAGTATTAAAAATTGGACAACTTCGTTCATTTTTGGACTCAAAACCCTTGAAGGGTCCCATCTAGAGGCCCCTAAAGCTTGCGAAAGTGATCCCTATAGGGGTTTTAGTTAGTGGGCCCCATAGGGGACATGCTAGTCGATAATTGTTATGAACTCAATGTGAAGAAGTATTTTAATGGGAAAAAACTGAATAAATAAACGTTTTTGAATAAATTCGAGACCCCTATAGGGACCACTTTTTCAGCCTCTGTAGGGGTTGTTTTCCCTCTGACCCCTATAGGGATCACTCTGAAATTCCTAGGCTGCGCTCTATATTTTCTTAATTTCGTTACGTTTTAAGTGTACCTTCCATTTAAAAAAAACTGAAGGCTCTATTTAATCGCCCTTTTCACACTCCAATAGCCAAAAGCTCGATTTATCACAAAATTCTTGAAGGATTTCTTTTTGTATCCACCCTGTTGGATCCAAAACTTCAAAGAAAAGGTGTTGGTGAAAGTGGGTAGGTCAGGAGGACAAAAACGGCTATCAGCTCCAGAAATCGACCATCGGACAATGTATACGGGTTTCGGGGACAATGACACGATGGCGAGCCCCGATTAGAACCAAGTCCGTCATGCGGATCTGACCGCGAGATTCCCTCTTTGATTGGCGAGGAATCACAAAAACTTGGGTTTTTAAGCTGTTTTTTGCCGTTTCGAAAAACTTTAATTAACTCGTTTTTATTATTCATCCTGTTCCTTTAGTCAAGTGCCGTGAAGTGCCTGGAACAATTTCCAGTGGCCACTATAGTAGTCAAATTAGTGGTCACTAAAGGGGTTAACAATTAGTGGCCACTATAGAGGTCTAAGTGCTTCTACTAACCCACTAAAAATTTTAGTGGCCACTTTAGGGGTCAATGGATCAACATAACTGGTCCAATCTGTTTGTTTTGAAATTATCAGAGTTATCGGAAGGAATACTGGATGAATAACTACTGAAGTGGCCACTAAAACGGAAAATAGTGGCCACTATAGAGGTGGGTTTAGTAGCCACTTTAGCGTCCTCTCCAAGTAGTCCTCTATAGTGGCCACTACAAATTTTCCCAGTATATGATGAATTTTCTTCAATTATAGACCCAAGTGAACCCTTTAGGGTCGCACTGAAGTGTCAATAAATTATTGAAACCTAAAAAAATGTTTAGTGGAAATCAATTTTTCCGTCATGATAGCTTTATAGGGACAAAAAAAGTTTTTATTTAACGATTTTTTTCACGATTTTTTTGAAATTCGAATATTTATAATGCAAATTAGGCCTATTTCGCTCGATTTTTTTCAGACTTTTTCTGCAGAAATATACAGTAAAAAAACGGAGAAAAAAAGCTATATTTTTTTCTCGATTATCACTCCCCATTGAGTCATACGCCTCAAAATTTATCTTTTTTTCAAGTTTTTTTGCTAGGCCTTTGAGGCTTATCAATCAAGTTGATGATTTAAAAAAATGATAAAAAAATCCAAACTTCAAAAACCCCGCCAAGCATTCGAAAACTTTTTTTATAATTACGAAGGTTTTTTTCAAAAAAATCACCCTTTTTTTATAGAATTGATGTCAGAAAAAGTTTTTTTATCGATTCTTCCTGTTTTTCTGTTTCTTTGTGATTATGGTTGAGCAAAGATGAAAAATGTTATCGATAAAGTTTGATTTCCGCTTAACAATTCGATAAGAGATTAACGGAAACGAATGAAACATCGCTTTTAATCAAAGAAAAAGAAGTTTTTATCGTTTTTCGGAGGAATATCAAGAATTTAATGGGAGTAATTTTTCAAATTGAAGTCACAATTTGGTCGAAAAAAATCAATCAAAAAAATTACAAAAACCCATTATTTCTTCGATTTTTTTTTCGTCACCGGTTTCGAGAAGTTATCATCTTTTGAATGGTTTATTAAAATCCTTAGAAACTTCAGAGTGGTCCCTATAGGGGCAACCTCCGGGCCCTTTGAGGGTCCCCTTTAGGGACCACTTTACCAACCCCTATAGAGTTCTTTGAAGCTCGCAAAAGTGGTCCCTATAGGGATTTTTTATGAACTCTCTGAAAAGAAGCATTTTCATACGAAAAACTGGATAAATAAGCTTTTTTTGAATGAAAAACATAAAAAATTGAAAAAAAAAACCCTATAGGCAGCACTTGAGCTTTAGGGGTCAGACCCTAGACCCCTAAAGGGACCACTTTTCGGTCCCTGTAGGGTCTATTTTTCCCTTAAACTCTATAGGGATCACTCTAAAATTCCTGAGTTGCAATAGTTAATAATTAATAATTAAAAAAAGCAATAATCAAGTTGCGATTGAAAAAAACTTCTGCTTTCTCTGCGCTCTCTTTTTTCTCACCGACGAGAGAAAAGAGAGCGCAGACAGGTCAGACTTCTACAAATCACGGTAAATGGAGTATTAATCTTAGGTTTGATTTTTGAATCCGAAATGTCTTTCTACAACAAGTTTATTCTTTAAAGGCATAGGGGCAGTAAAAAACGGTGTTTCAGTTCAAAGCAGTACTTTGTAGAGCTTTTCATTGCGAATCGAACGGTAAACTTGGGAACGTACCGAACTTCCTAGTTTTGAAGAAAAAATAATTCAAAATCGGAGAAAGGAAAGCTTGGGTTCCCGCGAAAAGGGCGCTTTGCCGTAAAGTTGCTCTATGGACAACAGGCTTCCCCGTTTTTCGGATTTTCGCTTTTTTCTTCGTTTCTTTCAAATTTCAATTTTTTCTAATGTCATCAAAGTTCTTTTCGTCACGAAAGCTTTCTATTCATGTATAATTTGCAAACTTCGATCGCAAAAAAGCGTTTTTCGTGAAAAATGATGATTTTACACAGGTTTCGATTGGGATAGCGATTATTTGTGTTTTCTTTATTATCAATATGTTTTTTCTGTTTTCTAATCGATTTTTCAGAAAAGAAACCCTTAATTTGAAGCAGAAATCCGGTTATTTCTCACAAAATGCGAGTCTAATGAGACGTCCGCAACATCGCGTGCACAGCTACTGTAATCAGTTGTCTGAGCACCGATCCAAAAGCTTTTTCAAAATAAAAAGGCGGGAAAGTGAAATCGCGTTTTTTTCTTCTAGAGTTGTCACATCTGTAATTTTTTTGAGTACACTGTTGGATTCGCAAAGAAAAACTATACAAGATACTGCTTTCACCTGAAACCCCATTTTTTACTGCCCCTATGCCTTTAACAACGACAAGACTTTTAAAAATATCCTTTCCTTTGAAAATATCGATAAAGTTTCAAATTTTCCAATCAAAAAATCCATTTAAAGCACAGTATAGTCTGTGTGCCAGGACTTGAAATTTCACGGAACGAAATTCCGCTGTTCCGCTGCATGCGTTCGCGAAGCGTCTTTCACGCTTTCAGTTGATTGTTATTGCTGTGGGAGCACATGAAAGTAGAGAACCTTAATAAAAGTAAAAAATAATAAAAGCGCGACCAAGGTCCGCAAAGGCGCACAGCGGAATGTCGTTTCGTGAAATTCCAAGTCGTGGCACACGGTCTATATCACAAAGAAGAAAAAAAACGCACAAGAATAAAAAAAGACCATTTTCTCCAAAAAACCCACCAAAGGCAAGCACCTTTCGTGCTCGACAGCGTAGACGAATCTTTGTACTCGTTCGTCAGGCTTCGCGTGTTCGACCAGCGAAAATCGCACGCGACTGTCTTTGGCGAGTCGCGCGAGGAATTCGTCGCGAACGAAGGCCTCCTGCTGCTCGGCGACGGCTCGCCGCATCCGGAGCTCCGGAACTTCTTCGAGGATCGTCGTCTTGTGTTTTTTGTACTAGAAAAGGGAAATGGAAGGATAGCGCAGTGGGTTGTGAGAATTTCTCTCGTTCAAAGGGTCACGGGTTCGAGTCCGATCGGAAATCGAGGAAGATCAAGACTATTTTTCTCCGAATCTTCGAGAAATATGACTTGTCTGCGCCCTCTTTTCTCTCATCAAGTAACTGGGAAAATTCTTAGTGGCCGCTTTAGGGATTTGACTTTAAAGTGGCCACTATAGCAGTCAAATTAGGGGCCACTAGAGTGGCTAAAATTTAGTGGCCTCTTTAGAAATCTGAGTGGTCTCACTACTCTACCACTAAAACTACTATAGTGGTCACTAAGGCACCAAATAGGGGCTTCTATAGAAGTCACTTAAGTGTCCCCTACCTCTAGCCCTTGAGAAACCTCTTAAGTGACCACTAGAGTTTTTCAAAGTCGTCGAGAATGAAAAAGGCGCAGAGTAGTTAGGATTTTTCAAAAATTAAGGCCCACATGTAATTTAAAAGTTAAAAAATAGAATTTTATAAAGTCCTTGGGTAGAATCCTCAAAGAGGATCACAAAATATGCTGTGGAACTTCTGAGATGCGCGCTACGCGCCCGACTCCGCCCACTTTTTGGCCACGCCTTCCGGCTTTATGGGAATATTCTCACTTCAATCCGACATCTCTGTTATGAAAAATCAACAAAGATTTTCAAAAAAGGAAAAATGCCACTGTTTTACATGTGCAAAAAACTTGAATGATTTGTAATTAACGCATTTCGATTTTCAAAAAAAAGGGAAGCTAGAAAAGTTCAAAAAAAAATTAACTTCGAAAAGTTTGAAATGTTGAAAATTACCAATCTGCGAGGCTAACAGCCTACTGATAAAGATTTGTTAAGCCCTTATGACTCCTTCCGTTATTGCTGACCTTAGAACCTGAAAGGTGAATGTTATCAAAGAGAACCGAAAACTGTGACTCACAACTTCCAACATTCGTGTTTTTTTGAACTTTACTGATCACGAGACTCTATTTTGTTGCAAAAATAAACAACAAACAAAATTTATGAACTGCAATTTGATTTTGAATCAGTTAATTTGAGTTAAACAAAATTTTAACGTTTTTTTATTCAATTTTTTTTCCCCAAAGTGACCGTATTTCAATTTTTGCGCTACCTTGTTAATCTACTAGTTGAAGTTTACTTTTATAGTAAAATGATTGTCATTCGAACAAGTTTTTCTTCTATTCTCTCGAAAGGTCTGAATTTTCTCGCAACAAAAAGAAAACTGCGCGCAGGGATTGCATTTTCCCGCCCCGCGTTTTTTAAATTCGAATCGCAACATTTTCGTTTTTCCCTTTTTCTTTTTGTTTCGCATTCGAAAACATAATAAACTATTGGAAATATTTCAGTTACGGGTAGTCCAGTCAAAATGGACATCGTATTCGGTGTTGAGTACGAGTTTTACGATGGACACGCCAGGAAACCCGATCGCACATTTATCGTCAATTCAAGTTGCCTAAATTATTTATACTTTGATAATTTTGTGTTTAAGATGCTCCATTACATTCAACAAACAAAATACAACCATCCGGGGGAATCGTTACAGTGGCCGAGAATGAATTCTACGCAGATCGTCTTTTTCTTTGGTTAGACTTGAAAAAAATAATCATTTTTCTTTGTTTATGAAGCTTCATAGAATCTATTTCATTAAAAATTGAATTCAGGAGGACCGCTGCTCAAAAGTTGTTTATTGAAGAGCGATCTTTGATGCTGACAACTCAAGGGGCTTCGATTTGCATCGACTTTTCGAGGCCTTCGATTCTTCCCGGAACTTCTATCACTATTTTTCAAGGAGGTTTTGATGAACAATAATTAAATTATTTAATTTTTGATGTTTCAGAACGTGTTTTCAATTGTGGTTCCGACGCAATCGAGTATCCATCGTTTTTTTATATTCGATTGGAGCCTAGCCGGAATTATGATGTCAGTTTGAAGCGTTTTTGCTGGATTTTTCAAGTTTTCTTCATTTTTCAATGTGATTTGAAGAGTTTTTTTCAAGTGTTTCATGTGAAATTTGCCAAAAAAACGAGAAAAAGTAATTTTTGTTCGATTTTTTTGAGAATTTTTCGCTTGTAAATTTAGAACTGAAAGCTTTGTAAAAAAATTATTAATTAGGGAGATTTTTTTCGAAAGAAAAAAAGCAAAATAAAATTTCCCTTCTCGTAAAAAGCCTTTTTTTGAGATTTTTAACGGAACACAGCTCCAAAATTCCTCAAGATACTCCATCAGGCAACGATTGTACATCATTTCAAGACATAGAAAATCAACTTTTTTAATTCCAGGTGCAGCCGCGATCGATTCTAACGTCGATATCCCACGAGGAACTTTTCCTCTATCACACTTCCTATCCCCTGACTATCGGAACTCCATTGAGGGCCAGTATCACTCAGAGACCCAGCAAAAATGGGGTGAATCTTGTGATTTTTCGTGATGAAATAAGTGAATTTTAACTAAATTAGGTTTGGAAATGATCGGAAAAGAGTTAAAATTACAGAAAAAATCAATAATTACAAAAGTAGAGTGGAAATTCAGCACCAAAAATGGACTTTTTATAAATTTTCCTGTCTCCTTTTTATGGTTTTTTGTTGAAAAGGTCCATTTGAAAATTTAGAAGGTGTTTTTGAATCATTTTTTGATAGGAGTTTTATTCCTCATAAGGTTAAAGAGATCAGGAAAAAAAACTGATAAAAAAATAAAAAAATCATAGAAAAACGAACTTTTGGCAATAATTTTGAAAGTATTGGAGTTTTTTTATAGAAGTATAACGTTATGGTGAATTTTTTTCGAATCCGATTTTTTTAAATTTGGATTTTATGAATAGCCTTTTTTTCTAGCTCAAACTTGACATCGAGTAGAAAAAAATTTATTATTCATTTTAAAAAAATTGTTGGATAAAAATGAAATCCTGTTGAAATTGATAAAAAAATACGAAATATTGTCATTTTAGCTGAATTTCTCAATATTTAGCAAGATTTCTGTCTTTTTTTCTTTCAAAAATTGCAGAACTTCAAAGAAAAAAACATCCGTTGATTTTTATTCATAATCCATCCATTTGCAGCTTTTTTTCTGAAGAAAAAAAATTTTTATTTTACAAAAAAACAATTTTTCCTAGATCGCCTATTGCTCCGCCGAAGGACAACTCGTCTACATCCGTTTGAATCCCCAATATGGTCATAATGGTTTTTTTCCACAATCGTCTAGAAAAATAATAAATAAATCTTATTTCAAGACGATAAACACGATGAGCACGTTCTACGTGATGGCGGCCTTCTGAAACGATTTTTGGGAGGTATTTTGATGGAAAAAATAGAGAATTATTGGAAAATTGATCAGGAAACACGAGTTCGGACGCGGTCAGCGACGTGTGTCTCGTGAAAAAAGCGCGGGTCAACGAAAATGAAATCGAGCCAAGAAAATCGGCTCTTGGTGAGATTTACAGGGACATTTTCCGGAAAAAAAGTGATTCAATTGAAATTTTGACAAGAAAATGTTGATTTTCTGCGATTTTGACAGATTTTTGGGGTTTTTTCTCTCACTGAATTGGTTTAAAACTATCCAAAATTGAAAAAAAGTAGAAAAAAATTATTCCAGCTCTTGATAAGTTTCAAAAAAATGACTCAATATAAAAAAATATATGTTCGAAGTTTTTAGGATAACTTCCAGATTTTTCGATTATTTAAGAAATTTTTTTGTAAGAACTCGACTCTCATATCGATTAGAACATTCAAGCTCTTGGTTGAATTTTTAATAGTTTGAAAAAAATGAAAACAGCGCGTTTTAAATAGATTTTTCTTATTCAAAAGGCAAAAATAAGCGTCACAATCCCGAAACGTCCCCCTACAAGTGCCTAAGTGCATGTAGTTTAGAGTCTGCGAAGACGGTCTTTTAAAAATTTTTACGATGATATTCAAAATGAAATTTTGAGAGATCAAATTTTGATATTTCCTTTGGAATGATCTCTCATTATAGATGACATGTTGATCTGTCGAAAAAAGAAACAATAGGACACATTTTTTAGGCATGTTAATTTTTCATTCAGCGGAAAATGTTACCATTTCATTTTTAGTTGACATGTTATGGAAATATTGACCAAAATATCACTCGAAAGATCATTTTTTCAGACTCTACTCTTGATTGATTTTACGAAAACACTGTTTCGAAAAAATAAAAATTGAAAAAAGCGTATTTAAAGAAGGTTTTTCTCCTTTAAAAAGCAAAAATAGGGACCGGAATCCCGGAACGCCCCCCTATAAGTACCTAAGTACATGTAGTTGTGAAAAAAATTCATATATATCTTTTTCAGCGCATGCCGATTCGGATATCGCTTACGCAGTGACGACGGACGGATGGCTCCGTGGCTGGAATGTTGATGTTCGTTTTCCTTTTTTCTCTTATTTTCAATACTTTCAGGATTTTTCAGAGAAATTATTCCTCACTTTTATTCCTTGAACAATTTAGACTAATCAAGTTTTTTTATGAAAAAAAAAATTTGCTCTTTGTTTTCTAGTAAATTCCAAGTTCTTTGTCAGCTTTTTTCTGTATTTTACTCTTACGAGGAAAAACTATTTTCAGTGTTTTTTTTTTCCCACTTTTCTAATAGTTTTTTTATCTTTTTTTCTTTAGGGATTTTTGGATATTTTTTTCAGCGGTTTATTTATTTATTTTTTTCCATCAATTTTTTCCCTAACCTGATTTTTATGTTTCACTCGGAAAATATTTATTTTCAAATCTTTCAAAGGCATTATGTGACTTATCCGCTTCTCTTTCCAGCGATACTAAAAATTGACCAAAAAAGAAATTTTCATTAATTATGATAGTTTCATGAATACTTTGTAAAAATTCTTGAAAAACTTTGAATTTTTTTTCAATTTTGTGCAGTTTTTTGTTGCTTTTTTGCGCAATTTTTGATGTTTCTACATGAAAAGGTCTATTTTCAATGATTTCCAGGCCCAAAGAGTGTCGACAAATTCGTTGGATTTGAAGCCATTTGCGTGTTTTTCGTCCGGTATTGATGAGGAAGTCGATGGCGAGAAAAATTGATTCAGGTTTGTTGTGAAAAAAATATTTTTATGCTTGAAAAACCGAAAGATTCTAGTCGAAATTTGGTTTTTTTCTTGTAAAAAGTTGGAAAATTTTTGGTATTTTTTTGAGTAATTTTTCAAAATTTTCTCAACTGGAAAGTGTCTTTTTAGCTCCAGAAATGTTTTTTTAAGAAGCTCTCGATTTTTTTATAAGCTCAAAAACCATCATAAATTCTAGAATTTGAGTTTTTGAGCCACATTTTTTTCAAAAAAACGTGAAATATTATTCCTAGTAATAATTTTACATTGTAAACAGGTTCGAAACGATTATTCCCAACCTGAAAAAAATTCAAAAAAATCACATTATAATTTTTTTAAAAAAAGCCTTATGATTTTTCTTATTTTTAAAGTCGAGAAAGAAGACGCAACATTAAACTTAATTTTAATCCCTTTAATTGAAACGTTTGAAACGTAAGGTCTCCTTTTTAATGTGAAGTCTGAAAAATGGGGAATTTTTCAGTTTTTTAGGATTTTTTGTCTGTTTTCTCAACTTTACAGTTTTTTTTTATTCAAGTAGTTTCCGCGAGATTCAATATCTGACTCTCCAAAATTCAGTTATCTTTCTCACTCTCTGACGGTTATTTTTTATTTTCATGGTATTTCTTTGGAAACATCGTTATGACCGATATCCCTGTTTCAACGATCTTTTTTTAATCGTCACTAGTTTTTTTCGACTAATAAGTTTGGCAGTATTGGAAGCTGGAAAAGTCGGTCGGTTCGGTCACTTTTTCAAAGTGGCTGTTTTTTGAAAATTTTAAAGTTTTTTCAGTTCTAACTTTTGAAATGCGTAGAAATCTCGGTTCTGGTGAGGTTTTAATTTTTCGAAAAAAAGGAAATATTGGTGCCCAAAATAGGAGTTTTCGTGTTTTTTTTTTTCAATAAACTTCATGTCAACATTTTAATTTGACCTGAAATCGAAATACGTCAATATTTGAGAGCATTTTTTTTTTAGCGAAAATGTGAAAATTCAGAAAAAAAGTGATTTTTTGTAAGTATAATGGTCAGAGATTTCGAAAAACTGACTTTGAAACTTTTCATATTTTAAAGAAATAGGTACTTTAAGGCCGTCAACACCTGTGTAAAGCCTAAACACTTTAAAAATTTTGAAAAATTGAAAAATTAGGTTTCCCAAGAAAATTGACCGAACCGACCGACTTTTCCAGCATTCCGTCTGCTCTTGACACAATTCTCGATAAATATGCCATTTTTCCAGTGGACAACGAGTCGTCCTATCTCATCAAATCCTACCAAATCGACGAGAAAGACGTCCTTCTGGTCGTGGCCGCAGTCTCCTCGGCCCAAGGCGCCGCTTTTCATTTCGTCAAAGCTTCCGAGGACAAATTGACCTACATCGGTAGTCAGACCAAGGTAGTATTCAGGGTTTTCGTGTATTTTTTGGAAGAAAATTTTTGCGAATCCTTCCAATGATACGTCTATACGTTAAACCTACTCAGAACTGTCATTTTTTTATTAAAGATAAGAATTTTTGAAGTTTTTCAAATCTTGAAAAGTTCAAAAATGAGCTTTTATCAAAACGTATTCTTAGTTTTAAGTGGTGCACGGGCTACCGTAACCAAATGAAAGCTTCAAGATTGAACTTTTCGATTTAAAAAAAAGAAAGGGGCTGTATCTTTCATGAATTTGAGGTCAACTTCGTACATGGATTTTTCCAAATCCATATATGAAGTTTACAGTTTCAATTTATTCAACTATTGAGGGGAAAAAATGGTCAGAATTGACCAAATCAAGTAAAGGATAAAATGCCCGAGAAAATCGAGCCAAAGGAAAGATTTTCCGACTGCGAAAATTCCGCTGCAAAAAATGGTTCTGAAGGAAAAGTTACTGCGCTCTTACTATCAAGTTAAAATAGTTATTAGATTTTTTGGAAAGCCGAAGGCATGTTTCGCGTAGAAAAAATAGTTCCAGAAGGTGGTTTGAAGCTTTTTTGAAAACCTGCCTTTTCAAATCGCAAAAATATTTCGGTTTTTGTTCACAACTCTGTTTTGAGTTGAGTAGAAAGGTTCCCTTTCCAGAAATGAGTTACTGCATAGGTTTTATAGTTTCGTGCAATTTTTCAAGGCATTTGAACTTTTTCCAGAGAAGTTATGCCCAAGAGACTTTTTTTTTTAAAACACCCTTATTGTACCCAAAAAACTGATTTTCCAGAAACAGCTCGACGCAGATTCGGAAGAGAAGCTTATGGACTTTGCCCTCCTGAAAGTCACCCCGCCGGAGAGCCGTTTCCACCAGAGAGAGTCCTCGCCCCTGGAGTTGGACGAACAGTCGGACGACTCGGACGAGGTCGAAATGGACGAGGAGGACGAGGACGGCGTCGAGGAGGAGTACGAGATCGTCGAACGGAGTCTCGGCACGAAGCCGAGGAGGAGAAGGGCCCGACAGGCGGTCCCCTGGAACTCCTGGGTCCTTAGCCTGACCGCCATGTGGCACACGTCTTCCCAGTCGGCCAGGAAGGAGTACGTCCTCCGGAGAGTCGTCGTCGCCGTGTTAGTTTTCATCATGTTTGGAAAATATATGCATTATGCTTGGGGGGCGGGGGGCTAGGGAAGTTACAAATGTCGGAATTTCAAAGAAGGGATCTCTGTAGGGAAATTCACCCCTGTGTTAGTTCTAAAAAAAGGTTCAGAGACAGGCTTTTTTTCGTAGGTAAGTCGCTTAGGAAATCACGAAATTAATAAGAAATAAGGTTTTTGTTTGGAACGTTTTTTTCTCTTCGAAAATTACAGTAGATTAAATTTTTTTCCGAAGAAAAAAATGCTAGAGAGGCTTGCAAATTTTGGTTTCCTGACCTAGGAAACTCTGTAGGGGACGTCACCGATGTTTTAGATTTTTCCTGATCTTTGAAATTTTCTGCGAAGAGTTGGAAGTTAAAGAAAAGAGGTTTACAGAGAAAAAATGTCTAAACAAATTCGAATTTTGATTTTCATTAAAAATTCCCATAGGAACGTAATCGCTGTGTTAGTTTCGATAAAGCTCTGAAAATTCATAGATCAGGCTTTTGCGAAAAAAAAGCTTGAAAAATCTTGCAAATTTTGGAATTTAGAATGAATTGAACGCTGTATGGAAAGTCGTCACTTATTAGTTTTTTTTTGAAATTCAGCAATTCGATTTGAAAGAGAAGGGATCTGAAAACAGAATATTTTAAGGAAAATTCGCTCGAAAATCTTTGAATTTTTTGAATTTTTAACGATGGGGACTCTGTATGAAACGTCATCATTGTGTTAGATTTGCTAAATTTTTGAAAACCTTAATTTAAAATCAGAAATTGCTCAAAAGTCTTGCTCTTCTTGAAATTTGTAATAGATGAAGTTCTGTAGGGCACGTCACCGATCTGTTGGATTTTTCCTGATTTTTGAATTTTTTTTTGTTGCGAAAAACCACACGTCAAGCTTCTGCTCGAAAAATAGAGTTTGAAGGAGAGCCTCATTTCCTTGAAACCCAAGCCTTTTCTGATTCCTGAACCGAAATCCCAATAACTACAGTGACTTTGACGACTGCAAGCAGACGGAGCAGTTCGGATGGCACGACGTCGGCCGATTCGATGCCTCTTCCCTCAGGTCGTCGTGTGTCTCCTCGTTCGCCGGCGTCGGACCCTTCTCCGACACGGAATCTGAATCCTCGGTCAGCAGCGCCTCACCCACGAACATCCCGCCCGACGCCAAGGTCGACGAACTCCGCGACGTCGTCTTCAACGTCGACAACTACCCCTTCGACGTCGTTCATCGCGCCGTCAGGGTCCGCTATTTTTCAATCTTTTGGGTTTCTCGATTAGAACGTCTGTAGGAGTGTAGGAAGGGTCAGTATCTTTAACAAAAGTTGCCGTACACGATTTCGAAGTGATCAATTTCCCAATATTCCCATTTTCTACAGTTTCATTCTAGGTTGTTACGGTATGAAAATAACTGTTTATTTCCGACCGGTTGACCCAGGGGTGCACCGAAAACATCAAAAAGTTCACTTTTTTTCGGGGTTCACTGAGGAGCCAACCCCCCTTTTTTGTTAGAATATTCCATCGGGTTTTTCAAGTAGTCCGTGGAAAAATGAAAAATACGAAAAATTTGATGAGAAAAAGTCTAGGAAAATTGAATTTTCCGATTTTGGCTCTCCTCGGAACAAGAATTTCGAGTCGTCATGAAACTTTTTTACTTTTTTTTTTTTTTTTGTTTTACCGAAATGGGGTTTCATCCTTTTATAACCGATTCACGGCTAACTTGAGACACTAAGAGGGCGTGGCCTGTCTGCGCTCTCCCCCAACCAGGCACTATCTCTTTTATTATCGTGTCAGGACCCTTTTTTTGATGGCTCAAGCCAGCCGTAATCAGCTATATTCGCTTCTCTTCTGGTTTTTGAGGATTCTTCTTGAGGCCACTTAAGAGGTCCCTCAAGGACTACTTGGAGAGGACACTAAAGAGGTCCCTTAAACCAATCTTATAGAAGCCACCGTTTTGCATCTTAGAGGCCCCTATAGCAGTTTTAGAGGTCTAGTAGTACCACTTAGACTTCTAAAAAGGTCACTTGATTTTAGCCTCTTAAGTGGCCACTAATTTGACTGGCCACTAAAACGTCAAAACCCTATAGTGCCCACTAACAATTATCACAGTTCTTCATTCAGTCGACTCCAGGATATCTGTTCAGATCGTCTGTGAAGGCTCTAGAGGCAACAGTATTCGCCATGGAAGTTGGCTGGACCTCGCCAAACACGTCGAAATGTACCTGGATTCTTCTGAGGCAATCATCATGTTTTTGAAAAAATGACAAGAAGGATGTTTTTTCAGTTCAATAGCCATTACCAAATGAAAAATGAGCGCGGTTTGAGACTCCGCGCCGGGGCTGAGGACATCATCGCGGCCGCTCAGAGCAAGTGGGCGGTTTTTAAAGATTCTAGGAAAAAAAGCAATTTTTGAAGGTTCTGGCGGGCTCTCGTCAACGCCTGCGACGAACTGCAGCAGTCGGCGCGTGGCCCGATCAGTTTGGCCGCCGTCCAACTCAGCAACGACCTGAGGTTGATGGCTGTCGTTCACAAGGTGATTAGGAAAAATCGGTTTAAGAAAATGGTAAAAATTAAGTTTTAATGGCGAATTCGATGAAAATAAGATTTCGAAGGGTTAGATACACGGAAATTCCTGTAGATAATTGAACATATTTATTTAAAAATAGTTCCAAAAAAGTCCAGAGTTCGTTTTCTGGATATGATAACTGAGTTTTAATTGCAAATTCGAAGAAAATGAGATTTTAAAGGGTTAAATATACAGAAGTCCCGGTTGAAAAATGAACTTAATTATTTAAAAATTGCTCCTAAAGAGTCCAGAGTTAGTTTTCTGTTCTTTTTTTATTGTATAAAATTTCGATAATTGCTTGAAGGCAAGTCCCCAGTAGTGATAAAAGGTCGATGGCTGTCGTTTATTGAGAAAACCGGTAAAAAATTGTTGAAAATTAAGTTTTAACGGCAAATTCAATGCAATTAAATTTTTAAGGGTTAATTTCTGAGAGAATAAAACGTTCAAATAAATGGAATCGGGAAGAAAAGGTTTTTTTTTCTCTCAAAAAGTCCAGGGGTATTTTTCTGTTCTTTTTATTTTATTTAATTTCGAAAAAATAGGTTTGAAAAAAATCAGAATTTTTCATGAAAAAAATGTTTTGACACCGAAATTTATGAAAAATGTAAGTTCGAAAAAGTTGTTTACAGGAATTTTTTTATAGAATTAAATGAGAAAAAAACATAATCTTTCTTTAAGAATACAAAGAAAAGACAGTTTTTAGTTTTTTGGAATTGACTCCTCATGATTTTGAATAACTTTTGTTTAGGACCGCTTCACCTTATTGCGAGACGTTGAGCCGAGTCTCTACGACGCGGTGTGTGGCCCGGGCAACGGCCCGAGCGTCGACGACCGTCTTCTGCCCAAGATGAACGAGGCCCGAGCCATCGCCGAGAGTCGTCTCAGGTTGATGGTCGGTTTTCGGTTTCAGAAAGATTTAAAAAGGAGATTCAACTACAGGATGACATTAATAATTTGTTAGGGCTCGAAATGGATTTTCTTTTTTTTCGAAGTCGAATTCAAGCGAATCTTGCTGAAGTCGATTTGGACGACGGAAAAAAATTTGTTTTTTCACTACCGTAGCCCTAAAAAGGGGGCGGGGCCAGTAAAAATCCTTAGTAACGTTTTCAGGAACTTGTGTAGTTAAACTGGTATTTTCGCTACAGTAGCCTTAAAAAGGGGCGAGGCCAGTAAAAATCCTGATTAACGTTTTCACGACCTTGTTTAGTTATTGTGATCACAAAGTGAGCCTACTAGAAAACGTTCCTCGCAATTGATCTCGTTTTCGAGTTAGGACACTTCAAAAGCTTGAAATAGCGCTTTTTTGACCTAATTTGGGCATTTTGCGAACTTTGAAGCTTCATAATTCAAAAAAAAAGATTCACTGCGGGATTTTATTTCTTTTTCTGCAGTCTGAGAGCCCTAAAGTGTACACTTAACCAAAATTTCATCAAAAGCTGGGGGTAAAAAACGTTCCCTAGTCAGAGAACTCTGAAATTTTGAAATATCACTTTTTCACCGTTCATCGAGAACGTGTTGAAAATTCGTATCTCATGTTTTTCTCTAAATCGGGTAAAATTATTTTTCAAATAATCGAAAAAACGGCGCACGGAACGTCTCGTCCCCCTTTTTCACAGTGATCCACGATTTTTGAGCTTTTTTTCCGAAAAGATGCTTTTCTGATTTTTCCTATCATTTTTCCCACTTAGAACCGCGAGGACCATCACACGGCGTTGGATCTCCGTGGCGAGGACGACATCCGGCCCGGATTGCCCTCGAATTTCGACGATTTCGACGAAGACGGCAACAGAATGACCGTGCCGGCGACCCTCGACCAGACCATTATCGGCCTTGTCGAGGCTTTCTTGGTCCTCGTCCAGTACGACCGCCAGAACTTTTCGAGTAATTTTAGCGTTCTTGGAGTTCTGAGAGCTTAAATTTCTCGGTTTTATCGACGCCTATATCGTTCCTAGTTCATAGTGGATACGAAAAACGGAAAAAAGGACACGATTTAGTGATTTTTGCAAGTTTTTAGGGGGGAAAGTTTGAAAATAACAATAATTTGAATTATTTTTTTCATAATATAATTTTTCTTGGTTGAAACGGTGTTCATTTCCGGATTTTTCCTAACGGAATCAGTTCATTTACATCAAATATTTCGCGAAAAAAAGCTTTGAAAGTTTTTTGGATAAATGAAGATGATTCACTCATAATTGCACTAAAAAGACAATTTTTGAACTTTTTTTGTATTTTCAACTTCCCCCGAACGCCTTCCATCCACAGTCAAGCCAAGAAAAATGCATTCTAAATACTGAAAGGACCCCAAAAAAATAAGCCTAAATATAGAAAAAGTTGAAAAAAAAAATGTTCTGCGCGAAAAAGCCTCTTTTCTAGAACAAAGCCAAAAAAAAATTACAGGAATCACAGCTTTTTTTTTGCGCTTTCGCATCGAGACCCCGCAAAAAAGACAGGTATCAATGCGAAACTTGCATTGAAAGTCAAAAAGAACTTTTAGCATTTAAAAAATAATTGAGAAGTTACCTATAATTATTTATACTCTTACAAGCGAAGAATCCAAAAAAATTGGAAAACTAAAAAAATTTCAATTTTGAAACAGTAAATTTTTGATCAGTAATATCTTATTGTTTATCCCGTGCAGAATAATCTTGTTTTTTTCTTTGATATGAAGTGTTGAAAAAAATCTATAGCTGATTCATGGCAGGCTTAACCCACCGAAAATGGGTCCTGACACGATAATGCACGAAATAGTGCCTGGCTCGTGGAGAGCGCAGACAGGACACGCCCTCATAGCGACCTAAGCTAGCCGTGAATCGGCTATACCGTAATCAAAGATTTTTTTCACGTTTTCGCTTCGAAACCCTGAAAAAAGGAACATGCATCGAAGCGAAATTTTGAACAATAGGTATTTTTTGGCGAAAAAAAACGTGACAAGCGGGCTAACCAACACGAATTTGGTGTATTTTGAAGGATACGGAAGTTTTCAGGCGAATTGACGAGGTCGATGTTCGGCGGCGCCTTGACCCAAAGCATCATCTCGGCGAACATTTCCGTCGTCATTTCCCAAAGATTGATCTTCACCTTGACCTTGAGGACTCTTCTCAAAGCCATTTTCGTGGTAGAACTCCTAAAAATTATTTTTGGAAAAAAATTTTCAGCGCACCCCGTCCCATGAAAAAGAACATTTGCGTGGGCAGCTGAAAAATGTGATCAAAGAGTACCGGGAAGTCGCCGAACAGCTCGACGTCAAGATCATCAAGTGGGTTTTTGGGATTTTCGATCCGAAAAAAAATTGCGCGTTGATTTGGAAATTTTGTATGCAACAAGTGTTAGTAAAACAGTTAAAACAGGGAATTTTTCAATTTTGAACCCTTTCTCCTAAAAAAATTATCTCAAGACTATGAAAAATTCTGAGAAAAAAAGATTTGGAGTTGTTAGAAGTCAAATTTTTGAACTAATTTTTAGAAAAATGTAGAAGTTCTGCTTTTTTTATTTCATCCTGAATATTAGGATTTATTGATAGACGGTTTTTCCTCCTAACTTTATTATTTCCATCTTTTCTGGGCATTATAAAACCGATTTTTGAGAGTTTCAAGTGATATTTTTGGATTCGGGGTCTGTATTTCGATTCAGAGAAGCTTAAAAAAGGAGAAAATTGGTCTGTCAGATGTTTTTTTCATGAATTTATCGCTTTAGACATGAAAGGCCGATTTTTCATTGGTTTTTTTCATGGATATTTTTGGGTTCAGGGATATTGATTTGGGCTATAATTTTATAATTAGCTTCAATAAAATTAAAATTTTGATGTTTTATTCTCAAAAAAAGGTTTTATAAAAAAATGAAAAATAAGTTCACAGTCACACGAGATGATGATCAGAAAAAAAAAAACGACAGGATTGGCGAAATAGCATGTGAATAGTAGAGACTCTGGTATAGCCGTTTTTTTTTTAATGATTCAAGTGTGGTTGTTATGTATGTTCAAACAGGATTGAAGCTTGATGAAATAGAAATGTTGTTTTATCCCAATTTTGAAACGTATAAAAATTAGGAATTGGCCACCAAATTACTGAATTTCTCACGTTATTTTTTGTTCGTTTTTTAACATTCTGATTTTTTTAGCATAATATGACTATGCTTGCAATCATATACTCGAAAAAAATTAAAAAGTTTTCAAAAAAATAATCCATTTTTTTAATACTGAAAGAAATTCTTCTGATTTCAAGACCTCTTTTTTTCATCAGAAATTAAAATTTTTTTCTCAATTTCAAAAAAATGCTGTTAAATAAAAATATTAAAAAAAACGCAAAAAAATGAATTTAAAAAAAGAACATTACTGAAATTTTTCTTCCAAGAACAAAAAAACCTAAAAAAAAATAGTAGAATAAATTTATCGAATTACTCTGTTTTTATAATAATCTAAGTTGCATAAAAAAATTCACTTCCTTCTATTAACTTTCTATTATTTTATTCATAAGCTGCTCAGAAATTTCCGCCTTTTTTAATGAAAAAAATTTTTGAATATTGGTGGAAAAAAAATAATTCCATAAAAAAACCGGCTGAAAATAGTTCTTAAACTTACTAAAATACTGTTTTATACGTCTTTTTCTTTTTTTCAAAGCCCCTATTTATTAGAAGCGGAGCAAAAATGTCCCTATGCACTTGGATGGTTTCCGACGCGGAAGGATTGATCATGGTGAGAAATGAGGGCGCTTTCAAGCCAAAAACCGGGATTCCACCAAATGCCGAAGTCGATTTCAACTACTTCCTGGCCGTTACCGTGCAGGTTTCCCTGATATTCGAAAATTATTACCCTCAAAATGAAATCAGGGCGCCGTTCGGGCCCTGCTGCCCTTCTCGGAGACGTTCGTCTTGGCCAAACGGCTCATTTCCAACCGACAGTACCGCATTTTGAAGGTTTTTCTTTTGGATAAATGAAGTTTCAGGAAAAAAGTATATCTAAAAAAGTTTGAAAAAAAAAATGAGGAAAGTTGTTAGTTTTTCCTGTGAGAGTGTTTCATGTGCGGAAAAATTTGGTTCATTTTTTTCTGATAGCTCCAAAATTTTTTTCATACATTTTTTTCCCTATGCAACCCAGGCAGAAAATTTACCCGTATAATTCGAAAATTATGTCAATTAAAATGAAGATTTTCCATTTTTAAAGATTTTCCCAAATTAGAACTATTTTGAAAATAGAATATTCCAAATTTTCAGAGTATTGTAAGAAAAATGTGCGAAAAAGCCTGTACAAATCCAAAAAAACAGTTAGGAAAGTGTTTAAATTAATTTTTTTACTTGAGCAAGTTTTTCATTGTATTTTTTTGTTTCGTATGGAAAAATTTTTTTCATTGTTTATTAAAGAAAACAAAAAAAGATTTCGGAAAAATTTTTTTCTTTAGGAACTTTCAGGCTTTTTTTCAATAGATTTGAAGTAATTTTACTTTATCAAAAAAATCTTCAAGAACTTGACTTTTTTTCGTAATTTCTTCAGGGTAGAATATTGGCAAAATAAATTTTTTTAAACCTAACTGCCTTTTTGAAACTCCATAAAGCTGATATTTTTTTTTCTGCGGACTGAAATTCCCTCAAAGTGTTACAAATAACAGTCAAAACAACTCCAAGAAGTTTTTAGAAAGACTAAGGTCTTTTCAAGGGATTTTTGATCAAAAACGCCTTTTTTCGTATCTTTTCTGACGGAACTTTGGTTGCTTCAAAAAACTAGAAAAAAATTTGAAAAAAGGCTTTCAAACTTAACTTTGTGCGCTCTATGGATAAACTAGATGATTTTTTTCGGTTTTCCACGGATTTTAAATGCATATGTTTTTTTTTTCCTCTAGTCCGCAAGAATTTGTAAAATTATGATTGTTTTAGATTTTGAAGTTTTTCCCTTGTTATTATATTCATTTTTTCCCCTCTCAGATGATCATGAACGATTACGTGACGGAATCCGACCCCCTCCGGCCGGCCATCAATTTCTATCGTGGAATCGCGTTCTCCGGAACTGATCATCCTACTAAAGTCTCTATTCCTGCAGAATAAAGCAGCTATTTTCGGTTTTCAGGCGATGGAAGCCTTCCAAGAGGCCGCTCAAGGGTTTTCCGCCGGCAATATGGCCGTGAGAAGAGCCGTCGCCGGACTTCTGCCCCGGGCTTTCAAACTCGATCCGAGTCATCCTTCCCAGAACCTTTTGGATCAGTTGACCTTGGCTGAGTACTATTTGACGGTGAATATTGATCTATTTTCGCTGGAGAATCGAAAAAATGAGCATATTTCTGTGAAAAATTTGAAGGAAAATCCTGAATTTATTGATTTTTGAATAGGAACTTTGCTTCGAGATGTCTGAAAAAAATGGCTTCAATCAAAATCAAATCAAAATGTTTTATTTCTCACACACAAGTACTAAATTTCACGAAATAGATGTAGGGAGAGTTTGGGAACATATGTGTCGGAACTTGTGGTGATGGAGGGAAGAGGACTCGCGGTCGTGTTAACCCCCCACTTGAGTAAATTGGAATCTGTAAAAAAATTTGAAATCTCACCGAAATTCATGCATTTTTTGATAAAAATGTTGCTGTAAAATTATCAAAAGTAGTAAATTTTTAGATTTTCCCAATTAATCGCTTTAACGGTTAAAGTAGATGTCTTCAAAAAAATTCAAAAAAATATCAAAAAAACTCGTCTTCGTGTCGGGATATTTTTTTAATTTCGGTGATGCTCCTTTGAAATACGGGGAACTAATTTTTTTGTATAAATGCTATGAGATTATTTCAACATGAACCTGCATTTTTTTCTTTTTCGACTTGAAAATTTTTCCTAAAATATCTAAATTTTTTTCTGATTACGAGGAGCTACTTGCAAATGAAAATAAAAAAATATAAGATTTTTTTAGGATTTCATAGTAAGTTCATGAAAAAAATCGAAGTTAAGGGGGCTTAAGATATAAAAAAATAAAGGAAATAGGTACAAATTTTTTTAATTTTTGAGCGACTAGAATCGCTTCAAAGTTATGGGTTCTTGACTATGAAAAAAATAATTCTTTGTTTTTGAATTTTTTTCAGTTTCACTGATTTTTTTCACCAGGTTTTTCAAAGTTCGGGCTAGATGGGGCTTCATAAAAATTAGTTTTTGAATTGACTTATAATTTTTTTCCCCTTTGACAAGGTAAATAAGTACAAAAACCTCTATTTTTGAAAAATTCGAAAAAGTCTGTTGAAAGTTGTATTCTCGCCGGAAAATTATTCAGTTAAAACGGACTATTTTTTTCAGGTTCTGAAGTTCCTGCAAGATAATGGTTACGGCGAAGAAGTGGTCAACGTGGCGATCCATGCGATCGAAACTTTGCCGGCCGAAAACGAAAGTGTGGTACGTTTCAAAGAATTAATAAATTGTCTGTCATTTCCGAAGATTTTTGTTATTTCAATCAATAATTATAACCCCCAAAAAGTGTACTCCATTCGGCTTTAAACTTAGGTATGTGTCAGAATAATAATTATTCAATTTAGAGGAGAAAAAAAAAAAAAACCATTTTTGGACTTTTTTTATAGTTGAAAAAATTCGAAAAATCTTTATTTTCAATATTTTTAGTAGCTCTGGGTAGCTTTCAAAAAGGGAAAAAAAAGTGACGAAATGGTTCAAAAATAAAGAGGCACTTTTTTTATAAGCTTCTGGTCAAAGGGCTCTATTTTTTTTCAAACTTGTCTTCAAGGTAAAAAAATAGCCGTTTTTTTCTATTTTTTTATACTATTTTTTTGACTATCACAAAATTAAAAAAAATAATTTCTGAGCCGGAAAAAAACACGAATTTTTTTCTCATTTCTGAACTTTTTGATGGGTTATTGGATAAATTTCAGCGCCGAATGTCCAATACGCTTTTCAATCACCTGACGGGACGACAAGAATGGTCCAAAGCTCTGCGATTGATCGTCAAAACCAGCATCAAAGGTATTTTCAACAAAGAAAAAATAGATGAAATATGCTCTACATGATTTTTCGAAAGCTTCTAAATATTTTTTTTTTCGTTAAAACATGTGCTTTTCGTACTAAGAAATATAACTGACAGCGAAGTTCTCAGCGAAAAAATTTTTTTAAAGCTTAAAGTTTTTCAAAAAAAAAAACCAAGGCTTCCTGTGAGGATAATTGAAACTCCAAGCGTGATTTTCTGAAAAATCGAATTTTCGGAAAAGTTCTGAATTTTTTTTTTGCCGAACGATGATTTTGATCAAGCAGAGCTTACAAAAAAGTTCTCAGTGAAACAATTTTTTTTGTTAATTTTCCTTTTTTTTTTTTAAATCGAGTTTTCTGTTCCACATAGTTAGATATCAAGTCACGATTTTCCTATTCTCTGAGTCATTTTCCCGTTTTTTCGAATAGTTCATTATTTTTTCATGATAATGAAAATAAGAGCAACACGGCCATTGAAAAAATTGAACAAAAACGAGAAAAAACGAATCTTGAGGTTCCCAACGAAGATCTTCGATCAACGAGCTTCTCGGTCTGATGTTGAGGGCCGACGCCTGGGAAGAAGTCGCCACGATGATCTACGGGCCTTACGAGGACATTGTAGGGCTTTTGGATTTTCGAAGACTTTTTCATTTTTGTTTTTAAAAATTTCGTAAAGCTGACTTTGATAGCTCGAAAAGCCGGAAATAAGACATATTTCACATATTATTCAGTTCACTCAGTTTATCCATGTTGGCTTTGATTGAAAAAAGGTTTTTTTTAATGATATATTCTTCGTATAGATGAACCACATTCCATAAATAGAAAATTATATTCATTTATGCTTCGAAATAGTACTGTTTCTTACTTTGGAACCAATTTTCTTTTTTCCGATGACAGCAAAAAACTTGATAGCTCAAAAAGTTAAAAAAAAATGAACCCCGTTTCAAGTATGATATGAATCTCGGATTAAAAAGATTTATACCATTCTCGACCGTCATCATTTGCTGAAAAGAAAATCAAAAGGGGATAATTTTTCTTACTAGGGAACTACTCGGACTCGGGTAGGCGTTTCGAGTTGAAACTTTGGTGGCTTATAGACCCGGGTAAGAGCACTTGGAAACAAGAGAAATTATCTGCTAAACCCCATAGGCTTCTGAGAAAAAAGCTTTTTGAAAATGAACAGTTTAGGCTTGAAAATTATCAAATTTTTGCTTTTCGGCTCTTTTGGCTGGAAAAGAGTTTTTTAGAGTTTATCATAGCCGGATCATTCGAGGCGATTGTATTAAAATATAAAACAAGGTAGGAAACAGTATTCTGAAAATTTTCAGGCGTTATTTTCACACTTTCCACTAATTTTTTCTCAGTTCTCTACCGGGTTTAGCAGATATTCTCTCTTGTTTTCAGTTATTCTGACTTGGGTCTATAAACCACTAAAGTTTCAACTCGAAACCCGTACCCGAGTCCGAGTGGTTCCCTAGTTAGCAAAAAGTTTTGTACCTCACGGATGAGTTTTTTTATTTTTAGAGAAAATTCCTTTTTCAAAGGAATTTTTCAAGGTTTTAAAGTGTTGTCAAGATTGAGTCAAGCAGCTCACCCCCCTTCTTTTTTTCTGTTTGTTGCATCAAAAAAGACCAAAAAATGTAGAAATATTAATGGATCACCGTCTCTGGAGATATGCGAGAAGGTACTGTTCCAGCGGGGATGGAGTTTGCTGCTTTACATTCTAAATCTGGACAGACTATACGGACCTCTTGAAGACAATTTAGCACTTTGAACTTTTTCAATGTTTTTCTGACGCCATTTTCAAACTCAGCGGTGAGATATGAAGCTCTAGTTTACCACGGCATGAAACTGGAACAAGATTGAGAGAAGCTTGTTACATTTATTCTCAATTTTCAGGTGGAAGACTTCTTGAGAGATGCGGCCAGTCGACAAAATCCATCAGAGAAACGACATCTCTACGAACTGTTGTTCTCGTTTCATGTGGCTCGGCAGGATTATCGCAAAGGTGAGAGAACGGGAAAAAATTCAGATGGATTAATTGAAAAAAAAAGTCAAGCTCAAGCTTAATTCAGTGGGAGAAATCGGCCTTAGGAACTCCAAAGAGGTTCCTATAGGGGCAACCATAGGAGCCCCCCTAAGGGTTCCCTCTAGACACCACTTTACGGACCCCTATAGGGGCCACTAAAACTTGCAAAAGGGGTCACGATAGGGGACATGCTAGTCGATAATTTTTATGAGCTCTAGGCGAAGAAGCATTCCCATGGGGAAAAAACTGAACAAATCAGCGATTTTTGAATGAAGTTGAGAGACCCCTATAGGGTTCACTTGAGCTTTAGGAGCTAAGGAGTCAGTCTCTAAGCCCCTATAAGGACCAACTTAATTTTACCCTCATAGGGACCACTTTTTCGGCCCCTGACCCCTATAGGGACCACTCTTGAATTGCTAAGTAGATATCGCGATAAGTCCAAATTCCAGGAGCTTGCGCCCTGTACGAATTTGCGCGCTACATCGAAGACGCCCCTGAAATGACCTTGGCGCTGCTGAAAAAACGAAGAGATGTCCTTTCTTCGGTCCTCGACGTCCAGGCGGTTCTCAGCATCGAGCCCGAGCCCGGAGAAGTCGTCCTCGACGATCACACCGACACCTCTCTCGTCTTCCCTCTCTGCACTGAGGTTATTGTGGGAAAAGGGTTGAGAGATCCTCAAATGCTTGGAAAAATGCTCAAAAATCAAGTTTTGAGACGTAATTTTGTCTCGAAAAACTACAAGAGCCCCAAAAATTCTGTAAAATGTTTTTACCAGGTCTCTGTGGAGTTGAATCATTCTGAATATTCTCAAAAAAGGTTCAGAATCAATTTTGAGACGTGAATTCGTCCAAAAAGCTACAAGAAACTCAACATTATATTCTTTTTTTCAGGTCTCTTTAAAAAAAAAAAGTTAAAAAAATCCTGGAAAAACAGTTTTGGAGGTCTAATTTAGTCGGAAAAGCTACAGGAAACTTCTATGAATGGAAAAAGTTCTTGGAAATTTTTCCTTTTTCATGACTTTCTATCCTGGCAGTCGTTTTTACTGTGTTAAAAACTATTTCTAGGAGGTTCTAAACTTCAAAAATAATGATTCTATTAGTTTAATCAGAAATATTCATTTATAAATATCACTATTGAGTGACTTCCACTTCTCATTCTAAAAATAGTATTTTCTACCTATTTTCATCGAAAAATGATCAAAAAACGACGTGACAAGTTTCAGGAAGAGAAGAGCTTCAAGCCGAAACAACTGCCGACAGCTCCGGCCCAAGCGCCCAAGCCGGTCGCCCCGCCTCCACGTGCCCAAGCTCCCCAACTCAACAGCAGCTACTCGACGCCGACCCCCGTCGACACTTCCAACAGCAGCAGCTCCAAGGATTGGCTCTCCCCGCCCAAGAAACCGCAGATCTCCTGCTCCTCCAGCGCGAACTCCGACAGCGACGGCTTCGTCCAGTGCAATCATCAGCCGAACTCCGAGAAAGTCGTCCCGCCGCCAGGCAGAAACGAGGAGATGGACGTCGAATCCAGCCCCAGTGGATCTTCTGGAGAGAAGGAGCACGACAACGAGTCGTCGGAAGCTGGCGGGAAGCACACCTCCGTTCTGGGCAGACGCCAGAGAGTCATCGTCATCACTGAGAACATGTGCGTTTAGAACCTCCTGGTCGCGTTTAGAATGGCTCGACGCGCTGCGCACTAATTAAAACTGCGGAGATGAAAGCGATGTAGTTGGCGACATCGCAATAGTGCTGCTATAATGGCAGCTCTCTCGCATTACCGCATTTTTCTCTGTGCAACTCGCTTCTTGGAAATTGCCCTTTTTTATGCGGGATAAACGCGACATCGCTCCAAGAAAAATAAAAGTTCGGCGTGGCGACAAAGCGGTTAATTTGAGAGTTTGTCTCGAAAGCGATGTCGCTAGCTGCTTTGTAGCCGCGACTTGCATTTTGATTGTCGCGACCTCGCATTTCGGAAATTTTCGAATTTTTTTTGAATTCGCGAGGTTTTCTCGCGGTATCGCTTTTCTCTCGCCCCGAACTTGACAGTTATCTTTGGTTAAACAAGAGTAACAGCCGGGAGAAAAGCGATGTCGCTAGCGATACATTGACGATATCGCGGAAGTGGTGCTTTGTAGCCGCGCCCTGCAGTTGGAAATTTCCGAATTTTTTTTTTCATGCGAGATAAATGCGATATCGTTCCAAGGAAAATGCGAGTCCGGCGCGGCAACTAGTCGGTTAATTTGCGAGGTTGCCGAGACGAAAGCGATATCGCTAGCGATACATTGAAGATCTCGCGAAAGTGATGCTTTGTAGCCGCGCATTTCATTTTCTTTGTCGCGACCTCGCATTTCGTGAATTTCTGAGGTATTTTTTGATGCGGGATAACTGCGATATCGCTTCGAAAAGGCGAATTTGGGCCACACCAAAAGGTTTATTCGCTATGTCGTCAATGTCAATGTACCGCCACCGACATCGCTTTCATCTTGCGACGGATCTTGAAAATTTTTTTCTGGATCAATAGTTCAAACTCTAAAGCCGCAGTTTGACACGAATTTGTGTTTTTTATTCTGAATTATTTTGCTTGTAATAGATCTTGAAACTTTGAATGTCAGATGCCGCCTATGGAAAATTTCTCGGTCGAATCCTCAGTTTCAGTCTTCACTTTCAGTGTCCGAGGCGAGTACATCCTCTCCTCGGCGTTGGTGGCCCTTCTGACGGCGCCGACCTGGCAAGGAAACCTCCCAATGATCCCCGAAGACCTTTACAAGGCCTGCGTCGACCATCAGCTCTACGATTTCGCTTTTGATGTTGCGCGGTACCTTATCCAAGAAAGAAAATTTTAAAAATATCATTTCCAGTCACTTTGACCTCTCCATCTACGAGTTGATGTTTGCGGTGACCCGCGAGGCGATCAAACTCGACTCTTTTGGAGACCGGGAAACTGTCGAACTGGCCTCGAATATTTCCGACGGATGGGTCCGAAATAATCGCCGACACTGTGATATGTTCGGCGGAAGGTGAGGAGTTGGGAGAAAATTATATTATTGGGAAAAAAGTAAAACTTGTATAAGAGGAAGAAAATATTCATTTTGAAGTCCTCAAGGTATCTCCACGAAATTTAAAGTAGAGAAAAAAAAGATAACGAACTTTTGGAGAGTCAGAGACAGTTTTTACGATTCTCGGACTTCGAAAATATACAGAAAAAATGTAAATTATTCAAAAATTCTAAGAGTAAGTTGTAATTTGGACTTATCAATCATCTAGACGTTTTCCCCTTGTACTCGTATTTCTCACCTAAAACTAGAAAACCCGCCTAAATTTGACTTTCTAGCTCGTCAACTGTAAATAATCCGAAAACAAGAGATTTTCGGAACCGTTCGTTATTTTAATTTTCCTTGTAGAATCAAAAAAAGTGAAATCTGAAAAACTAGTCAATATTTTAAACATATTCTCTGGAAAAGTTGGGTTTTTTAGTGTGATTTTCAAAATTTTTAAGAGATTCGCTAAAAATTTGAACCCTCCGTTCGCGAATTTTTTTTTATTCCGAGAATTCGCGCTCCACCGAGAATGAAGCCTGCAACCGATACTTGGAACTTTTGAACTTTATTTCTTTGAAAAAACATTTTCCCGCTGGTGGAAAGTGTTCAGGGAGTAAATGCGCGAATATTGAGAAAACTTCGAACTTTGGAGTACCATAAAAAATTAATTGAAAAAAGTTTAATAAACATTTTTTCGTCTCGAAAGTTCTCCGAAAAAAGGGTATGATTTCAGTGTCGACCACTGGGCGATCGTCCGCGGGATTTTGGCGGCGGCCCGAGCCAAATGGCCGGCCGATTCGAGACCCCTCCGAGGCTCCACCAACGCTTTCCTCTCACATCAACTCGAAGCGCCCTGTTGGCTTCATTTCGAATATTTGGTAACTTTTGGCGATTTTTTCGGCTTACAATGATGATCAATTCGGCAAGCACTTCAGGATCTCTAACGCTAAAAAAACTGCTTTTTCATTTTTTGGCGCGAAATGAAATTCTCTGCTTTATGGATTTCGTTCTCAGTCGTTTTAGGATCAAAATTGAGGAACTAAAATCTCAATTTTACCTTCAAAAGTCGAAAAAGTGTATCAGTTATTTCATCAAAAAGTGTATCAGTTATTTCATCTCACTTCAACACAAATATGTGCAGAATACAGAATAAAAAGTGTTTCTAAGAGAAGGTGTATAGTAGAAATGAACGATGTCTTTCAGAAACACGACGCCAACGACTATCTCCGATGCCTCGTCGACTACGATCACTTGTTCACGGCGCTTCAAGTGATCCTCGAAGTGATCGACGAAGAAATCGCCAAGGTCTCCTTGAAGAGAAGCATCCAGAAGTTCATCCAAACGGTTTCCAGGCACGATCCGCCGAATCGAAGACCTGGCTGCCCTACGGCGTCATCGACGAAGTCCTCAGGCTCACTGCCGGCTCCGCCCAAAAACCCTTCCGGACCAAACATGAGGAGCAAAACGCGGCTGACATTGCCAAGGTTGGGAGAAGAGAAAAACAAGAATTCAGGGATTTTTTACCTTAAAATTGAGATTCAATGTCGTAGGAGCATTGTCTTAGATTTTTTTTAATGAACAGGACCTTTCTCAGGTTTTTTAAATTTTTGGCTTTTTTTAAAGAACGACTGAAGGAAAAGTCAAGGGAAATTCTTGTGATTTTTTTAAATTAAATTTTTTTCAAGTTTTTCTTGAACGATTCTCCTCGGTGTACGAAAAAATTCCAGGGACTCTTTTTAAGAACAAAAAAATTGACGAAAAGTTTGATAAAATTATATAATCTGATTTTTAATTCTCAGATTTTTTTAGTGAATTTTTTTGGAGTTTCCAATGAGAAAGAACTGTTAAAAAAACTTGAAAAAAATAAGGTTTTTTCAAAATTCAGGAGGCTTCATTCAATTATTTGTATCACTAACGCCTAGAATTGGAGAAAAGATTCCAAAAAAAATTGAATTTTCGAGAATCTTTAGTTCTGTCCGAAAAGTGCTAGATATTACTTTACAAAAATTCAGTTTTATTTGAATTTTCAGCAACTTTTCTTCGATTTTTTTCAGGAATGATAGTTGCTTTGTGAAAATGTTTCTGAAAATAAAAATTCAATCAAAATTTTGTCGAATAGCGAAAAATCACGTTCATAGATGAGTCAATGATACGTTGAAATTTCAATTGAACTGAAATTTTTTTCAGAAATTTTTCCTATTTTCAGCAAAAAAATCGGATTTGTGAAACTTCCTCATTGAATAAATCTTGAAAAAAATGCACTTGATAATAACTTTTTTTAAAGACCAATCAATAATCTAATAATTTTTCAGTTGCGCCAATTCGCCAACGAAAAGCTCAATTCCTACTTTTCCCGTGTCAAAAACCACGAAAAAGCCTACCAAATGAGCTGCAATTTTTTCAATGATCGCTAAAAAAAAATGACTGTTTTCTATCAATTTTTGTTGAGTTTTACCGTTATTAGGCATCATTTTTGTTGTTGTTTTATATGAGTCGAAAACCTTGATTCCTGCCCTTCGATCCTCACTCAACTCAATAAATCAATCGCTCATGTTAACCATATCTCTCTCTAATTTCACATCCCTTGTAGCTATTTTATGACCTTTTTTTTCAAAAACGATGCGGTGTACACGTCTGATGGTATATCTTTCAAAAAGCGACGAATTTCGACGGTCCTGCCACTTTTTTGTTGGATTTTTATTCATTTTTGCTCCACTGCCCTTCAATTTTGTTCCATCTTTTCCGGTCCCAATGATTATTTATTTCGATTTTCACACATAAAGACGCTCTGAATGAAATTATTGATTTTCTGCGTCTTTTTTGACGTATTTCGAAGCATTGAGCCTTGTTTCTTATACCTGGTGATTATTAGATAATCAGAACTCATCTTGGTTGAAATTTTAATTTGAAGTTTTTCAGAGCTGAAAAGGCTTCAATTAGAATATATTCCATTCGTCCCATCTTTAAGTAGCCTGCGCCCTCTTCTCTCTCACCTACAGAGGAGAGAGCAGAGAAATGAGAGGTCATAGTGACGAATGGAGTATAATTCGAAAAATTAAAAAAAACTATTTTTTCATATTTTCCCTTCAACTCTAGCAAATGCGCTCTACCGAAAAGAGGCGTGGCCAGCCAATTAGTGACTAAGTTCGCCAGAGCGCGTTTTCCCTTATTATGAGCTCAACCGTTTAATGATTTTTTTTTTCGATCTTCAGAAATATATATTTCCAAAGAAACGATAAAATCATCGATATCGGCAAAAAAAGATCCTTTTTCGGTTTTTTTTTTATTTTTCAATGAAAATTTTAAATATTTACCTTTTCATCGGAGATTTCATGAAGTGAAAACTTATTTGCCGCATTCGGAATGGTTCGACGCGTCGCGGTTTCAAATTAAAATTTTCAAAGTTCGCAAGTCGTTTTCGGTCGGTTGCACTTTATGAAACTAATATTTGTGGCTGTGAAGCGTCGAGCCATTCTCCATGCGACCACTTTTTAACTTTTTTTCTTTGAGTTGAGCCTTGATTTTCATTTTATATGCAATTTATCATAGAAAGTAAAATTGGATGGTTGATGTCGTCACGCTCTCATCAGACTCTGAAGATGAACTTGTCGATTTCAAAAAAACTCCGAAAAAGTTGAAAGTTTGTTTTTTTCCTGATACAATATCCTTGCTGAGGTTTTTCAAGGCGATTTTGTACTACAAGAACTAAAATTCTTTCGAAAATGGCTTTTCGTCTCAAGACCCGGAAATAGGCCATGCTCCTTTAAACCTCGGCTAGGAATCTTCGGACAGGTTATTCAGAAAAAATGTCTTTTTCAGAGACTCTCCAAGGGATCGAAAAGCTCAAGTCCGAAAAAGTCGATAAATATTGAAGGGGTCCCCAAATCTTTTTCCTCGGATTCGAAAACGAGGTTTTTTTTTAAAAGGAATAATATAAAAAAATAAAAATTATTGTTAAAAATGTGTTTTTTTATGATTTTCTACGTCTTCAAATTGCTTAAGAGCGCGAGAATGGTCCCTATAGGGAAAAAACGAAGAAGTGGTCCCTAGAGGGCTAAAATTCAGGTGTTCCCTACAGGGAATTAAATTCTGACCCACGAGCTCCTAAAGCTTAAGTGGTTCAGAACAAAAATTGACAAATGCTACCCTAGAGTGACCACTAAAAGAACCCCCTAGCCATTTTTTGCAAGCTTTAGTGTCCCCTGTAGGGAAGGTGAAGTGGTCCCTTAAGGGGAAACTTCAAGGGACCCTAAAGTTGCCCCTATAGGAATAACTCTGAAGTTCTTAAGTGCATCAGACTCTTTTGGTTTTGGATGTTTTCAAGTCAAAAACTGAAAAAAAAGCATTTTGAAGAAACTTGAAAATCATGAAAAAAAGAAAAATAAAATAATATTTTGCAGATTTTCATTCGGCGTCTGCGGAGACGACAGCTTTCTGGACATTCCTACAACTTCCAAATGGAACTTTTCTCCGAACAAATCGGATAAAAATGAGGAAAATATCAGGGAATCCGATTCCCCGGACCTCTTCGCCAAACCTCCTTTGGACTATAAAAGTCCAAATAAGGTTTTTTTTTTTGAGATTTTTGGGTTTTTGAGAGTAAAATGAAGTCGGAATGGTGGATAATGGCCACTAAAAGGGAGAGGCTCAGAAAAGGCTGCAAAAAGGCTGCAGAAAGGCAACAAAATAGGAGCAAAAAGGCTGAAAAATTGGTCCCTTTATCGAGCCTCCCATTTTTCTGAGATTTTAAAAGCTCAAGAAATGGTGGAAAAAGGGAAAGGTAGCACAAAAAGGTGCATAAGGGCTGAGAAAATGGCCCAAAAAGGCAGCAAAAAAGGAAAATTTATATGAAGCCTTTTCCGACTTTTCCTATGGTTGAAAAATCAGAAATTTTTCTTGTTTTTGACCTTATTTTGATTTTTCAAAACATTTCCATCATTTTCAAGCCAGAAAAAAATCTGAAAAAAATATTTTTTCAACTTTCTTGAGCTCCATTTTTCTATCAAATCGATAAGAAATGTCATTTTGAAGTTTTGAAAAAAATTCAAAAAAATTTTGAGAATACCTTGAAATTTTTCAAGCTTTATTATAATAAAAAAATGAAAGAAAATATAAAATTTTGATTTGAAAAAAAGAAAAATTTTTGAAAAAAATGACGCGAAACGTGTTTTTACGAGTAAAATGACGTTTTGTTTTTCCGACCATTTGTTTATTTATTTTTTTCTCCGATATAATTTTTTTCAAGTAAAATTCTTATAAATATAATGAAAATGGTAGTTTTTTTAAGAAAAAGAATTATCGAAAATCGGCTTTTGCTCTCATATAAAAAAATTTTATCCTATTTTTTTCTAATCCACAGATTTTTTTGAATTTTTTTCAGTTTTTTAAATTTTTCAGCTTGATCTGCACATAAAAAAACCGATTTTTCCATTTTTTTCAAGCAATTTTTTTGGCGAGAATTGTAGAAAGGTTTCAATACAGTTTTTGAAATATACAAGATTATGAAAAAAATTTCGGGATACAAAATATAAGAAAAATGGAAAAAAATCGAGCTAAAATTGACATTTTATATTTTTTTCGGATTTTTCAAGGCTATCGAAACTTTTTGAAAGCCTTTTTTTACAGGTAAAATTCGATTTTTAAGTCATTAAAGTTCCATTTTTTTAATCATAAAGATTTTTCAAAACTTTTTAAAGACTTCTTAGAACTTTTTCTTCTAAATGCTCTACTTGATAAAATTAATTCTATATCCCTTTTTCAGAAAATCTCCCCGTTGGCAAACCCTCCAATGCCAAAAAATAGAAAACGATCTTTTTCGGCTATTTTGCCATCAGAAGCGGAAAAATCATCAAAATCCGGGAAAAATCTGACGAAATCCAGTGAGAAAAATTGACGAGTTCGCCTTGACCAGCAGCGATGATGAGGTTTGATTTTATAATATTTATTGAGAATTTTTCGAACATTTAGAGGGAAAAATTCAGGTAATCTCATTTTTTTCTGTAGAAAGTGTGAATAAGGTTTTTCCAAAAAAAGACAATTTTTTTGTAAAAGATTTTTGAATTTTTCTTCCTGAAATTCTTTATTTATTTAACTTAAAAAAATTTATTGATAAATTTACATAGTAAATTATTGGAAAGCATTTCATAAGGCCTATTTTTCAGAAGAATATCTTTTTTTGGCATTTTTTTGGAGAATTGAGTGAAAAAAACTTTCGAAAAAAATTTTCATTTTTTTCCTTCCAAAACGACCATTAAAAATTTTTTTCAAAGCTATTTTTTTGGAAATATTTCTTTTTTTGGAACTTCTATAAAAATTCCTTTGTTTTTTTAACTTTTTCGAAAAGAATATTTTTTTGATAAATTTCCACTGAAATAAGTGTTTTTGGAAAATAATTTTTTTCAGTAGAAAAAGGCTTTTTAAAGCTTTACTGGTGATTTCATTCAAGAAAGCTTTATTTTTTTTTGTCATTTTCAATTTTATTGCATCGAGCTGGATAAGAAGATTCTAAAAACCGACTAGAAATAGAGAAAAAGACAAAAATTCCAGAAAAAGGATGATTTGGCCCTCCGCGCATTGATAAGTCCTAATAAAAAACGAACAAAACGAGGGGAAAAGGTACGTTTTTCTTAATTTTGATCCTGAAATATGCTTCGATTTCAGAAAAATTTGATTCAAAATGAGTTTTTCGGCGTTTATTGTCTGATCAGCCGCAGTCCCAGACCATGTTTTAAGGTACCTTTTTTTGGATTCTACGAAAAATCTTGCTTCAAAATGAAGAAAAGGTTAATGAAATCGATAAAATACTGATTTTTGTGGTCAATGAATAAAAAATTGAGCATAGAGTCAATTTGCTGTTTCAAAAAATTTTTTTTTTTTTTTTTTCATTAACTTTTCAGTGGGCAAGGCATTTCGCCAAAAATGGTCAAAATCTCAATTTAATATATTTCGATTTGAGGTCAAATTAAAAAAAGGTTGAAATAAGATTTATTGAAAAAAAAAACACTAAATCTCCTATTTTGAGCCGCAAATATTAGGTTTTTCGAAACCTAAAACCTACAATAGAGATTATATTTTTGACGGATTTTGAAAGGATCAGTGGGCTGTTCGAGAAACGGGTATTGAAATTGATAAATGGCTCATTTTCAGTTTACTGTTTCAGAAGCCATTCTAGAGGAAAAAAATTCTTTGGTCAATGTTTCTGTAGGTGACCGTTTTTTTCAAACAAAAAAATAAAAATTCCGTTTTTCCTTTGAAAAATTGTTGTCCAGTCTCAGTTATAGGGTATTTTTTTCGATTTTTTTGGATCAATTTAAAAAAATATTGCATAAAAGTTCGATTTTTCCGAGCAAAGGGACTGCAAATTGATGAAATGCTCATTTTTTTGATCGAATAATGATTTTTAAACATACTTACTGTTTCAAAAATCACTCGAAAAAAATAAGTAATCAGTTTTATCAAAGTTACGTAAGGAATGCTCATTTGTGTACACTTTTCCGGCCATCTGATCCCTTTTTTTTTTGAAAATGGTGTTCCAGACCCTGTTCTAGGGTATCTCTTTTGATTTTTCGGACAAATTTCGAAAAAATATTGCATAAAAGTTCGATTTTTCCGAGCGAAAGGACTGGAAATTGATGAAATTTTCATTTTTGAAATCATAAAGTGGTGATTCGAGTTATTAGTTTAAATAGTTTCAAAAATTACTGAAAACAAAAAATGGTTTCATCAACGTTATAGTAGAAAAAGAGTACACAATTCCGGTTATTTTGGCCTTTTTTTGAAAGATCTGATCCAGGTCAGGCCATGTTTCGAAGTACCTTTTTGATTTTAAATCTTTCCGAAAAGTCTTGCTTTAAATAAAAAAAAATATAACTAAATTTTCCAAGAAATCGATTGAAATATTCATTTTGAGGTCAAATATCAAATTAAACACATATTTACTGTTTATAAAATCACTCAAATAAAAAAATATTCGCTTGAGCAACATTTTTAGTTAACCTCATTTTTTTGCACACTATTTCAGTTATTTTTGGCCTGTTTTTCTTGCAATTTGTGATTTTTTTGAGCTGTATGAAGTTCTGTCTCTTGAAAAAAAGGTCCATTTCAAAAATTCTATTAATTTTTTTATGAAGTTTTAAAGAGATTTCTATTATAATTTGCAACAAAAAAAGTGTTTCGAAGCATTTTTGAGGGTTATATAATCAGGATTCCTGATTCGAAGACTCATTAATAGTTTGTAGAATCGGTGTTATATTGGCTATACGGTTGATCCGAATAGGAGAATCATGCAACACAATGGAGGAAGAGAGAAAGGAGGCGCCAAGAAAACGGACAATCGAGGCCCGTGGTTCGTTTCACCTTTTTCAGCCCGAAATTCAATTTTAAAACGTGGAAAAATGTTCAGAGCAGTGCTTCTTGTAGAAAATGGTGTTAGAAATAATATTCAAAAAAAAATCACCTATTTCCGGGAAATTGGTGAGAAATGAGTGATTACTGTTTCAAGTTTTGTTCAAAAACACCTTTGTCCTTTCTTATTAGTGACCCTATTAAATTCAAAAATCTAGAATCGATTTTTTTTTTTTTCTTTAGTTTTTTTAAGTTCTCTTATTTTTCAGAGGATTTGCGATTTTTTTGAGAAGCGAATTAGGCGGAAAAAAATCGGGCGATTCCGGCCTTTTTCCTTTTTTTCAGAGAAAAAAATCTGAAAATGGCAAAAATTTCGGAGGAAATATATTATGAGCGAACAAAGATCGGAAATACCTTCGATAGAAAAAAAATCGAAAATTACCTACTAACAAAAAAATTGATGGGAAATAAGGGATTACTGTTTCAAATTTCGTTCAAAGTTGTCTTTTCTTTTTTTCAATGCTTTCATTTTTCAGCACGTTCTAAATATCATTTTTTTATGATCCCCACATTTTTTTCATGATTTTTCAAGATTTTTTTGAGATAAAAATAAAAAAAGCAGTTTGGAAACACCTTCGATAGAAAAAAATGAAAAAAATTACCTATTAACAAAAAAATTAATGAAAAAAATGAGTGATTACTGTTTCAAGTTGTCTTTACTTTTTTTCATTCAATGCGTTCATAAGGCTGGGAATTCTGAGTACTATTATTTTTTTCTGAAGGTTTCATTATCCTCATATTCTTTGACGTTTAAATTCTTAGGTTCTTTCTATCGATTACTTCGGAAACGTCTTCGATAGAAAAAAATTCAATTAAAATTCAAAATTACTCATTTTCGTGAAATTGGTGAAAAAAATGAGTGATTCCTGTTTCAATTTCCGTTCAAAAATGTCTTTTCTCAATTTTATCAATGCGTCCGGTGATATAAAAGCCTAATGTGATTTTTTTTTTTGACGTTTTCGAATTCTCCCCTTTTATTGATTCGATTTTAAAAAATGAAATTTGAAAAATTTTTAACAGCAGTTTTTTTTTTGAAATACTCTTCATAACTGTACGCATTCTGAAAAAAATAAACTTGGAAAATATAAAAAAATATTCATCATTTCTAACGGAGTAGATATTATTAAAATCACGTCCAAAATTATCTATGAATAATTTTAAAGAAACCGGAATCTTATCTGAAAAACCATTTTTTGGAGATTTTCCAAAAAAAGTTTTCTGTAAATTTGCTCATTTTTGAAGTTGCGAAATGAATGCTTCCAGCCTTATTTTGTGTAAAATTTATAGTCCAGCGAAGATTTTTTGAGAACAATTACAGAATTTTTCCAGAAACTCCATATTTTCCCAGCATATTTTTCTGAAAATCAAATATCTTCGAAAAAAAGAAAAATGTTCGCATTTTAAAGGGACATGGTCTGTGTGGTGCACGGGTTCCCGAATTCGGTGGCGGCCCTTCGATTTGAATGGGCCTGGCAGAATCCCAACGTTTCCAAGGTTCATTTTTCGAGGCTTTGCGGAAGTTTTTATCTAAAATAAACAGTGAGAATGAAGAAAATTCCAGTAAAATTTATATTTTTTTGATTTTTATCGAAGATTATTCGAGTTTTTTTTTGTACCTGTTGTATTTTTTCTACATTTTTAACTCAAAAGATGCTGAAAAAAAAAATTCGACTTTTCTGTAGCTTATTCCCAAGCTTTTTGAAAATTGAGGGTTTGAAAAAAAAGGATATTTTGGCAAGAAAAGCAAGTTTAGAGTCGATTTTATCCGAATTTTTGTGTTTAATGACAAAAACATTATTTCATCTAAAAAAATTGACTTTAAATAACCGAATTTTTGACTAGAAAAAAAATTTTTTTGAAGGTAAAAGTTTGCCAAAAAAAGCCGCGATTCCTTCATTTTAAAGCTTCAAATTCGATTTATAACATTAATTTTTGTTTACTTCAGAACATTTCGGATTATTTTCTCAATTTCGAACCGAAACGTTTGGAAAAAAACCATTTAAAAAAATGATGAAGAAAGTTATTTTTGAACTTTCAATTATTCATTTTTTTACTGCCATTCAAAAATAAGAGTGAGAGAAAATATAGATTCATAAACATATATTTTCAACTTGAAACCGCAAAACTCCATTCCTTCAGAATATTTTTCCAGGTCATCCGACATCATGAGCTGAAAAAGGGAAGAAAAGAAACGCCCTTTGCATTTCAGTCAGTTATTTAAAACCATTTTTGACTCAATTTCTCATTTTAAGACTTCGAATCGCCTGTTGTTTGATCAATAGCAAGCCGTTCTCGCGATTCGCCTTGACCTTTCGGTGGCTGGAATTGGTAATATAATGAAAGATCTTAGCTTTTCCTTTCCTGGCGGCTCCTTCTTTTCATCCAGAACGCAGAACGAAGTCCAAGAGCCAAACAGATTCATTTCGAAACAATAAAAGGGGCTGAGTTATTAGAAAAGTAGAGAGTCCACAGAACTGATCTTGCCGCGTCCTGGATGGCTTTGATAGGTGGTGACGGCTGAAAGCTTTACAGTTAGAACATTTAAAATCACTGCGTGGTATATAGTCTGTTCAGATTTTAAATTTCAAGTCCTCGCTCAAGCTCCGCCCCTAATGGCGCGATGAACCAATCAGCACTGGGGAATCGAGAGGTAGATACAAGTAGGTACCGGGTAGCAACTCCAGTCAATCGGCGAATCGTAATCGGTGGTCATTTGTATGCGACCGGGTACTATCTCTATGGTACCTGGATAGTACCTGATCGGTATTTGGATGCTACCGGGTAGGTACCTGAAATTCGCGGTTGCTACTGGCTGGCACATCGGTCGTTTATATACCATCAGTGTTTTTTTCACCTTCCCAAGCCTTCCAGGGTCTTATTGGATAAAGCTGACACAAAAAATAACGACTCGGGAAGCAATTCCAGACTTTCCGGTAGCAGTCACGAATGTCAGGTAGCTACCCGGTAGCTATTTGCATCGACCTCCGACCCAGGTACCATAGAGATAGTACTTGGTCGCATACAAACAACCACCGATTACCATACGCCGATTGACTTTTTCAAAAGTTGCTACCCGGTAGCTATTTGTATCGACTTATCGATTCATCTTTGAGAGAGCGAGCCATCCACAGAGCGTTTCCGAATGACGTCATTCTACTTGACATTCAAAACCTGAACGGACTATAGTCCATTTTTCCCTACTTGAAGGGTGAAGGAGGCAGGGCAAGGGGCGGGACGCGTAGCGTGTGCGTATGCGGTTCTTTGCAAGAGTTTAATTCAATCGCCGCCGACTTTTCAAAAAGTTCGGCAACCGCTCTTTTTCTATATGTTCTACTATTTTTGATACACACATGAATTAATTGAAACAGGAGTGAAAATACCGAAAAACGGGCTTTCCAAATAGTCGCTGCCGGTTGAACTGAACGCGTGCCAAGAACCGCTTACGCACACGCTACGCGTCCGGCCTCTCTCGCCTTTCAAGTCGGGTGAGGGATTGTGCAGAAGCGGAGAGGGAGAATAAAAGTTAGAACAAAATTTACCTTTTCGGCAGTGACGGGCGTTGAGGTCTGCTTGCCGCTCCTTGATCCTGTTCAGGAATGGTGCCCAGGCAGATGGGCTTCTGAGGTCCTTCCGAGGATGGCGTTTTCTTCTCGAGCTCTGAGGGCAGAAGCGCTATTTCTGGAAGTCACTATGATGACCATCGAAAAAGCGTGCAGAATCGCGGTCGAAACATCGCTCGCAAATCGACGCAAAAACGTCCTTCTCCTGACAGCCGAAAAACACCAAAGCATCCGGAAAAAGAAGTTCGAATTAATAGACCTAACGACGGTGATGACGGCTCTAAAAGACAAAAATGGTCACTTGAAAACTTCGCGCAAAGAAATGGAAGACCTCACAGTTGACTACTACACAAGGCTCTTCCAAAGCAGCGTAGCAGTACCAAGATCAGCGACTCCACCAGCAGAGGAAGAACCTCCGATCATCGAAGAAGAAGTCGCTCACGCTATCCGAAGGTTGAAGAATGGAACGGCGGCCGGCCCCGATAACATCTCGACAGAAATCCTCAAATCCGGAGGCGACGCCCTGAACCGCCTGCTCGCCAAACGCTTCTCCACCTATCTGAAAAACAACGAGATCCCGGAGCAATGGAAGGTCTCAAAAACCATCTTGATCCCCAAAAAAGGCGACCTAACCGACCTGAACAACTTCCGACCAATATCACTATTATCGGTCGTCTACAAGTTGTTTACCAAGATCATCGTCAACCGCCTAGAAAAGAAGCTCGACGACTTCCAACCACCGTCACAAGCCGGGTTCCGGCGGAACTTCTGCTGCCTAGATCACATCCACACCTTGACTCAGGTTGTGGAGCGTCATCGAGAATACCACCTCCCCCTGGCATTGGCTTTTGTAGACTACCGGAAAGCCTTTGACAGCGTCGAGATCAACGCCATGCTGAACTCGCTCGTCGCCGCAGGAATCCCCACGAAGTATATCGACCTCATCGAAAAGTGCAACGAGGGAACGTCGACTACGATCCAACTGTTCAATAAAAAACTCACGATCCCCATCGGGAAAGGCGTTCGACAAGGAGACACAATCTCTCCGAAGCTCTTCTCCACAGCCCTAGAAGATGCAATGCGTCAACTCGGCTGGGACACCAACCGAGACTGGGAAGATGGAAACGTTATCAAAGGCATCAACATCGACGGCAAGATCTTAACAAATCTTCGCTTCGCCGACGACATTGTCCTCTTCGCCAACAACACCTCCGACCTGTCATCCATGCTCAACGATCTAGACGCCGTCGGAAAGAAGATCGGACTCCAGATGAACGAGAAGAAAACGCAGTGGATGAGGAACCGCTTCTGCGACCAAGGCAACGTCACCCTCGAAGGACGAGACCTGCTTGAAGTCAACTCCTACGTATATCTCGGCCGAGAAGTCAACATGACGAACGATTTAAAACCAGAGATAGCAAGACGCCGACGAGCTGGATGGGCCGCGTTTAACTCCATAAAAGAAGTTACCAACCAGCTGAAAGACCCAAAACTGCGAGCGCATATCTTCGAAGCATCCGTCATCCCCGCCATCTCCTACGCGACTGAAGTTTGGCCTGACACGAAGAACACCACGACCGCCCTACGAACATCTTACCGCGCATTGGAACGTGCGCTCCTCGGTACCACTCGCTTCGAACAGTGGAAAAAAGAACAGACGAGCACAGACCTCCGTCAGCGGTCCCAAATCCAGGACCTCGAAGAGCACATTCAACGCGGGAAGCATCGCTGGGGAGGCCACGTCATTCGCAGACAAGATGACCGCTGGTCGACGAGAACGACCCACTGGATCCCGAGAAACATCAAGCGCCCACTCGGGCGCCCACCGACCAGATGGACGGACTACTTTCGCAAGAACATCAGTCAACCAGGCCGCCACTGGATGACCGTTGCGCAAGACCGGGCCGCCTGGAGAACGTGTGGTCCACGCTGAGAACATCGCCAGCGAAGATGGACCATCAAAGTATCAAAGTAAGTAACTATGATGACGAGGGTGAATTCTTTACCCTCTGTCCACCGTAGAAACGAAGAAGTCGCGGTCCCGGAGTTCTTGATTCGCCAGAAAACGGATGCGATCGCCGTCGTTGATGAAACTTGTTCCATTGACCAAATGGAGGGTCTAGACTTCGTAGAAAGCCCATGGAAAGTTAGGTCTTGGTCAGGAGCTCATGCGTTTCGCAGGCTGCCCGAGTAGAATCGGTCAGAGAGGACTCGTGATGGCCGGGTGGTTGCGGAAATTCAAAGTTCCGGTGCTCCTCATTTCAGATTCCGGTGCTGAACTTTTGTTAGTTTCGCCGGAGGCTTCGGTAGATCTGGCAAGCTCTGGGAGTTTAGAACTCTGGGTCCAACTGAGCTTGGCAAAACTGCGGGCAAGAACTCGATAAATGTTATCGGCTTCTGGTGGTGATCTGAACTGCCAGTGACTTCCCGTGAAGGTTTTGCAGACTAGCTCGACGCTACTCTTTGTGGTGCCGATGATCGTTGCTAGCCGTGGGGAATCTTCCGGCGAAGTTGGCGACACATCACGACCAGCTTGAATCTGCTAGGAGTGGCTTGCTGCCTCTCGATGTCGAAAATCCGACCTTTTTTCATTATCGGGTGCGGATGAAGATTGGTGACCAAATAAGGTCGCCTTTCATCAGATCGGCTCTGTCGAAGCCGCCGGAATTCAGTTTATCACGGGAGTAACAGGTGAGGCGATCTGTAGCCGAGACTTCTGGATTGGCTGGGACGAGACACCAGTAGGGAGCCAGTTTTAGTGACGAAGTGGTAGATGGTTGTTGTTGTGACGATGTTTTCTAGAGTAAGTTTCCAGTTGCGTCTCTCAGAAGCGGGATTGGCTGGAGAATAGATCCAATCGCTCAAAAAGGCGTCGCTCAGTGTGTAGAACTGAAGTTCTTGGTCGGGTCGTTCAGCGACTTATAGTCATAGTCAGAGAGGGTTTGCCAGGGATCGTCGGCTCGGAGCGGTGGTCCCAAAAAGAGAAGAAAGTTTTTTTTTGAACTGTACTCATTCCTTGGTGGACAGCCCATGGTGCCATTCTCATCATCAAGTTCTTTGAACTTCTGCACGGTTGCAGAGGGTTTGGTCTGGAAGCGGTTCCGAGCGGAATTCGCGCCATAACCCTTTTTGACTGGTTTCTCGTCTTCTCCCAGTAGCTCCGGATGGATGCGTTTGGGATCATAATCGTTTGAAACGAACAAATTTCCTTTGAAGACGGACTTTTTTCATCGTGAGGTACTTCCGCTCGCATTCCGTCACCTAAGCCCGATGGCGCTTGTTGAGGAAGGGCTGGGTTTCGGAGTTGTGCTCCTGGATCTCCCTGATCTCCCTTTCGACCTTCTGACCTCAGTGATTTGGTGCGTCATCACCAGCTCGCGGGCCTACTTAAGGTTCTTAACGTAGAAGAGTTTTGCTGCGTCGTTGTTAAAAGTCCTTTAGAGTGAAACAGGCTGGGATAAGTCTTGGGGCACAGCGGACGCCCGAAGTTGAAAATTTCTGTAATTCGAAATTTGTCTAAAGTCGCAAACGACACGATGAACAACGCGGTTGGGAAAAAAACGAGAGACAAGGACAAAGCGAGGCAAGACAAACTTTGACTTTCTCTTTTTGAGTGATTCAGGGCCTGTGGACCGGCCGGCTGAAGTTTTTGTGGGTCTATCACCCTTTTTAGTGGAAAAGACTTCATATGGCCGCATGAAGCTCTAAATTTGGTACAATACGGGCACAAAACTGAGCGAAAGTTTGATCAGGATTTTTTGTGATGTCTCGGGATGATGCCTATTGATAGAAATAAACGGTGGCGGTGCTTGGCAAAAAATGAAGTGAAGAGAAAAAAATGTATGATTCTAAGCAGGGCGCAGTTGCTTGGAAGCGGATGGAATGATGCTTCTACAACAAGAATGAGTTTTCCATTTGCGGAGAGTACTGTATGCGGATATGCGCATTGCGTGCATACACTTTCGTTGCGTGACGTCACCAGGTCGTACATCTCCGGGTTTTTGCTTCCGAGTTTTTTTGAATATTTTTTTTTGCTTTCTTTCAAGATTTGCATTTTCCTCGATGATATTTGCACGATAAAAAAAACAGTATCAAAAAAATGGTAAAAAAAAACTCGGAAACGTACGACTCGGTGACGTCACGCAACGAAAGTGTAAACACGCAATGCGCATATTCGCATACAGTACTCTCCGCAAATGCTCGCTCTTGTCATAGCACCGGAATGATCTCCAGAGGTCTGCGGGGTGCAGCAGTTCCCAGATGGACGGAACCATGAAGCTACCAGTGAAAGATCTGAGCTCGTGCGAGCCTGATCCTTCCCTGGTGGCTTCTTCTTCTGGTGCAGAACACAGAACGGAATCCAGAAGTCAAGTAGATTCATTCCAAAATAATGAAAGTTACAGTTACAAAGTTATGAAAGTGGAGGGAGAGTTACAGTTAGATCGTTTAAAATAACTGAGTAGAAGGTGGTAAGAGATTGTGCAAAAGCGGAGGCTCAGAGAGGGGGAGGGGGAGTTGAGGCTTTTACCGGTCGCTTCTGGTGACGCGGCGAGCGGTATTAGAATGCTTTTAGCGTGGGTGCTTTTAGACGCTTTGATAAGGGGTTTCAACGACGTTTTTTCTAGGACCCGTCGAGATCAAGAGACTATTACTTACAATAATTTGAAAGCCTCCCTTAGAGCAGTTAGGGGACAAAGTAGGGCTCTAGAAGGGGAAAATATAGATCGTTCCTTTAGTAACTTTGGTCTGACCCCTAACGTAAGCATACAAAACTCAAGTGACCCCTATATTAGTCTCTCAAGCTTTTGTCCGAAATTTAAAATTGTTCAGAATCTTGGATCTAAGCTGGACCCTATAGGGGAACCTCCGAAGGATCCTATGTTTGCTCCAACCCCTCCCCCCCTCCCCCCATTTTCCCAAATAGGAAGTTATTATGATTTAGAAGGAAGAAATCCCGTTCCCTGAAGAAAATAAACCGCCGCCGCACGTTGGAACGAGTTACGGGAAGGTCGAAAAGCAATTTAGCCTCGTTCCCGAAGATTCCGAGGGTTATGAAGAAGCTGGAGAATGTCGTTTGTGTGGAAAGGAGTTCGCCCGGGTAGGTTATTTATTTAAAAAAAATTGAGCAAGTTTGATAAAAATTGAACTCGAAGCAACTAACATGCTTTTTTCTAATGTATAGTTTATTTAAAAGGCCTTTTTAGTGCCGAGAATAAAGACCTCTTTTATGTTATCCAACTAAAGGAATGAAAAAAAAATTTGGTTTTTACAAGAAAAAAACTGAAAAGTTGAAATTTTTGAACTTTTTCACCATGGAGCGCAAGTGTCGTCGGAAAGTCTACGAAACCGTTTCGTTTCGTTTTTTTAGTTTTTAAATTCAGCAGTTTTGTTTTTTTGATTATTGAAAAGAAATTTTCTTTGTTTTACTTCTAATTTGCGAAGAATTAGGATATTCGGACTTTGAAAGTCTATTTTCGGATGATAAGCTTTGATAACGTCTTTGATTCTGCATTCAGCTTTAATTCTGTGTTTTTTGCTATATTTTTCGCTTCTTATCAGGAATTTTCGCTAGTTTGGCAATTGAGATTACAGAATTCTTGTAGAGTGATGTGATTATTAGTTGTTTAGAAAATCCTAAAACTTTTCGAGTAATTCATGGAAAAATAAGGCCGTTTTGAATATACTATTTTGTTTCAGTTATGGCACCTCGTCCGATGTGTTGCCTCGCCCAACTGCAACGCCCATTTCCACACGAAATGTCTGGCGGCTGAAGGCTTGAGGAAGTTGGGCGAATTTCCCAAGCAACTTTTCCCGTTGAAAGGAAAATGTCCCGTGTGCAATGGGAATTATCTCTGGGGCGACGTCATCAAAGAGCAGAGGAGGATTATTTTGGTTTGTAGTTTGTAGTTTTTCAAACAATTGTGGCTTGAGAAAAAATCTCGGAGGATTTATATTCTTTTTTTCTGTACAAAGAATATTTTTTTGAATAAATTTCCGTAGATTTCAAGGTTTTTTTAAAATATAAACTCAAAAAGGTCACAGATTTTTTTAAAATCCTTATACAATTATTCGAGAGTTTTTGTGATATATTATTGGAAAACTAGAATATTTTTAGTGAAAAAAATGTTTCGAAAGTTGGTAAATTGAATTTTTTTCGTTATTTTTCAAGTTTAAACGATGGAATAGTCCTATATTTGTCCTATAGCTCTTTTTTTATTAAAATCGAGAAAAGCGTTTTTTTCAAACTAATAAAAGAAACTATACCTTTTTAAGGGTTTTTTTCTATCAATTTCTTATCATTTCCGTTGAATTTTATTCGCAAATTACTATTAAACGTTTTTCAAAACATTTTTTTCTTGATTTTTTTCGATCAATTTAAGCTTTCAAAACATTTTTTTCTTGACGCCATTTTTCAATGTGAACTCCGCGAAATTCAAAGTTATCTTTTTGTTCTCCAAAATTTAATTATCTTTTTCCGCTCTCTGATGAAATTTAAACACGGCATGAACTCGTGAAGCGAATCAAAAAGATTATCCCAATTTTATGTTTCAGGTCTCGGCCAAGGCGACCGACGAATTCAAGAAAATGGTCGTAAAAAAGAATTTAGTCGTCGATTAATTTTTGCAAGCTTCTAATTTACTTTTAAACTAGATTTTTATGTGTATTTTACTAATGTCTTTATTAATTTTATTCTTCTCAAAGAACTGTACATTTACTAGAAAACTCGTGTATTGTTGCTTGTAAGTGTTGATAAACTTTTTTCTCTTGAATTTGTTTTCTTTTCTGTTTTTGAACATTGTCTGTTTTTTAACAGTTCTGATATTGAAAAAAGGGCATTTTATTGGTTTTCATGGCATTTTTGAGGACAAATGATTATTCCGATCCGTTGCTTCACTTGCGGGAAGGTTATCGGCGACAAATGGGAGGCCTATCTCGGCTTTTTGCAGTCCGAGTTCAGTGAAGGTTCGTTTTTTCTCACTTTATCAAAAAAATGATTATTTTTCTATATTTTTTTGTTGGTTTTTAGGTTGTTATTTTGTTCGATAAGGTGTTATTTAACAGGAAAATTCTTTTGAAAAACGTTCAAAAAGCCGCCAGGAACCTTAAAAAAAGAAAAAAAGTTCATTTCAACGTTTCTGAAATGGTTCAAAAGGCCCAGCTTTTTCCATGAAGAAGATTTTTATCAGAAAAATTAGCCACATTCCTCCGAAATTATTCTACTTTTTACTATTTCCGACACCGTTTCTAAAAAAACTTTTTTAAAAAAATCACTAGAAAAAAAATGCTGGTCGAAAGGAGAAAAAAATTTTTTTAGTAATATAAAAAGTTTTATCAAAAATTGAGGTCTTATTACAAAAATTGAAAATGTATGAAACAAGATTTTGAGCAGAAGTTCTATAAGAAATCTTACGAAAAATCGTGACAGCAATTTTTTTTTTCAGAAGTGTTTTTCCATATGTCCAAACGGCCACAAGAAGAAAATATCTAGAGCTTATTTTTGTCCCTAAAGAGGTTTCAGAAGTTTGTCTAAAATCTCCTTTTTTCCCTCCTAAAAAAGTCGAGTAAAAAAAAAAGAGCCCGTCTCTTCATCCAGAATCTTTTTCAACATTTCAGGAAACGTTTAACTTTTTTTTCCGATGTTTCTCGCGTATTTTGAAGGGTCCCCTTAAGAAATTAAAGAAAATGATACTTTTTAAATTATATTTTCCCTGTGTAAGAAGTCCTTTATTTTTTGTTGATTCCAAAAAAAAAACATTGAATATTCAAAATAACGATTTTCGAAGTAAAAAAACTGAAAACCCTAGTTTCAAAAAAAAAAATTATCAAGCTGGCTTTTCAAGACCCACAAGCTTCTTTCTTTCAATTTTTTTCGAAAATGATACTTCTCGTCATTCTTTGTACTGTGTTCCGTACGAGACAATCATGCTTTAATAGAACTGCACAAAAAAAAATTTCCGTGTACACAGCTTTTTTTTGCACGTTTTCTGTACAAACCTGTTGAAAAGACAGCAAAAAACAAAAGCCTTGAAAAATTTCATCTAGTCTGGTTTATGGTCGTTTTGGAAGAAAAAAACGTGACTATCATGTGCGAAAAGGGCTTTACTTTCTTTCCAATTCGCGTTCCAAAAAGGAAATTTGAAAATTTATCAAGATCTCTACAAAAAATAACAAGCCAATATTCATATGTAAAGACTGATCATTTCATGTACGTTTTCTGAAACAGAAATGTGAGTTTGAAGGTGACGCCCTCGACGCCTTGGGTTTGCGACGATATTGCTGTCGTCGGATGTTGCTGGCCCACGTGGACCTCATCGAAAAGCTTCTTAACTATCATCCCCTCGAAAAGTGATCATTTTCAAGTGGAAAACATCTTTTTCCAATCCTGTCTAATCCATCCAAAATTCCCCCATTTTGTGTATTTTCATGGTCTCAAACTTTGTTGTTATGCCGTTCTATTATTGTTGTTGATTTACATAAACATTTCTCCTTTTTTCGTCCTAATTTCATATAAAACTCGATCAATTTGTTCTGGAAAGTGACCAAAAAACCGGATTTTGCGTGGGAGGAGAGAATCTCGCGCGGATGGCGTCGGGAAAGAAATTCCTTCTCTCTCGACAGATTTTTCCTTTTCCACATCGATTTTCAAGCTGATTTTCGGGGGAACACGTGTTCTTCTTCTTTTTTTCATATATTAACTTTATTTTAAACGGAAATTTCCTTCTTTTTTGAATTGAAAGCTTTGAAGAGAAAAATTGAAATTTTTTCGTGTCATGTTATCTTGCAGCTTTTGTTTTCTCTTCACTATTCGATAATCCTAGGAAAAAAAATCCCATCCCAATGCGTGAAGTAATCAATTAGAGAAATAATGAAAAGTGTCGTGAAAAAAACGTTCTGTCCGCATTTTAACGCCCAGACGACTGCATGATGTCGTCAGCAGCCGCGCGGAGGCGGCTGACCACCTTTGTTTCATTAGTTTCGATTATTTCCCAGCACTTTTTTCTTGTTATTTTCGAGTCGCTAGTTCTTAGAATAATTGGTAATTATCTTAAGTGCTTTCGCTTCTCGATTCAAAAGGTTTGAATCACCTAAATGATGAGAAGGTGGGAGCAATTACCTTTTTTTCTTAATTAAAGAATTTTTTTCGCTTTAATAAATGATAATTTCTTGACCTATATATAGGATAAAATAAGCTTTTTTTATTCGCTTTTTTTGTTCGTTCTCTGAAAGTTCAAACATTTCATAAAAAAACTTTGAGCGTTGAAAAAAATCATCGATCTTTGAAAAAAATCATCGATCTTGTAAAATTTTATTTTTTTAGCTTTTTATAAAAGTTTTGAAGTTTAAAGAAGCTTTTTTTCAGAACAATCCTTATAGCCCATTCCGCGCATTTTGCCCTGTTTTTTTGCCGGAAAAAAGACCGTATACAAAATTCGATCAAACTTGATCAAAATTCGCCTCAAAAGCTTTATTTTTTACAGTTTTGAGTAGAGTAAAAAAAGAAAAAAGTTTACGGTCGCTTTTTTTCTTCTGCTATTTTAAACCGTCACTGTCTTGTACGGAAAAAAGGTTTTAATAAAATCGGTTATTTTTGAGAGCTCAATTTTTTATCATATCTCTCTTTCCAGAGCCTTTTCCACGTGGATTTTTCTCGTATCTCTTCATTCCGTCAATTAAACGTCAAATTCAGACGTCGAGCCAGTCAGTTGGCTTATTTCCACTGAAACGACCGCTTGCGAGCGCGCCCCGGTTGGCATTTCTTCACTTCCATTCAAATAGTCGGAAAAGATGACTCGTAAGGAAGATAAATGAAGATAGAAGGAATTGATGGGGGAATGCAGGTGGAAATCAGCGCGACTTGGCCCGCGAGAAGAACTTGAAGAAACTCCAGGAGCAGAAGAAACGCGCCGGAGCCAACGCCAAGGACGGCAATGCTGTCCGTTATTTTCTTTTTTTGAAATGACCCATTTCTCAATATTATCTTGAATAATCGAATAGAAAGCTCCCTGATGACTTTTGAGGGTCTTTTGATAAAATTTTTAGCGAAAATCGATAATTTTTCATGGCTTTTTTAAAAGTTATTTCGAAATTGAAGCTTCAGGTGAAATTATAGAAGAATTGGGTCACACAACGAGATAACGATTTTTCACGCCTAATTTTTTTGAATTTATTTTTTTATTTTTTTATGACCAAGATTTTTAAGAGTAAAAAGTACTGTATTTCGTTGTAAGACCCAATTTTTTTGTACCAACTTGTTTTTTCCAATTCAAAGTTCTTCATAACATTTTTCGGGTCTTTTTCAAAAAAAATTAGCCCATATTTGATAAAATTAGAACAAGGAGCTCATGAAGAACTTTCTATTACTTATTTTGAAACAAGAAAAAGTTTCAACTATATTTTTTTATCGCTATTCAGAAAGTTTTTTTGACCAAAAATAACAGATTCTCTATTTTTTTACCATTTTCAAAAAGCTTCTCTCTAAGTTTTTTTAAACGAAACCACTTCCAAAAAAACGAGAAAAAAAGGTCAAAAATTCACTTTTTCCTGTTTCAATTTTTGATTTTTTTGATATCATCATAGTTTACAATGATTTTTTTGAATTTAGGCTTCCTAAAATGTTCGCAAAATGAAGATTTTTCCAGGGTTTGAGCACGGATTCGCGTATGAACCGTGACGCGGAGATCATGCGGATCAAACAGGAAAAAGCGGCGGCGAAAAAAGCCGCCGAAGACGCCGCCAAGGTATCATTCCTGTTTCTCCTTCATTTTATTAATAGTCCAGTTAAAATCTAGGAGTTTTAGCATACACAGTAAAACAAATATGTTGAAAATTCTATGAAAAAAACGAGATTTTTTTGTTGAATTTATATTGATTTTTCAAAAAAAGTCCATTTGTTTAGGAAATTTTTTTCTTTGTCTGATTTTTTTAAATTTTTGGTTTCTTCCAGCTCCATTTGAGTTATTTTGGTCCTCTTTATTTTTATTCAAAGGTTATAAATTAGTTTTTTAAATGAATTTTTTTACGATTTCGGAAGGTTTAAATGAAATTTTTCAGGTTTTTTTGAGTTTAGAGTTTTGTTTTTTTATTTGATGATAGGTCAAGATAAAAACCTGAAATTTTTATTTTTCGGCTTTTAAAATAGGTCAAAACTATCATATATTTATTTTTGATTTTTTTCGTCATGGCTTAATAAAGGAAAATGAAGTTTTGAGGACAAAATTGTGAGAATTCACAAAAAAATTCCAAAATTCGGAGGTTTTTTTCTGAGATTTCAGGAGTTCTTGGTTGAAAATGGCCTTTTATCTCAAAAAGCGAATTTTTTTCTTTATTCTCGCCGAAATCCCTCCCTTTTTTTCATTTTTTTAAAAATCTTTTACTCAAATTTTTTAAAAACACATTTTTTTATCTTGATACAAAAATAATAATCTTTTTCGTTTTTTTTCCAGGGCTCGGATAGCGGAAAAGTGGCCAAAGTCGACCCCCTGAAGATGTGATTCCTGTTTCAGAATTAGTATGAAATTAACTCGTATCGAGTAGGTTTTCCATCTTTTTTCCTTCAAAAGAAAAATCAATAAATTAGGGGCGTGTCCCGAAATTACGCGTTTGAAAGTAGTCACGGTTCGGGTAATTGCACGTTTCCAAGAGAACTTATAATTTCCTTCCCACGCGCCTTTTTTTTTGCAAAACTTTTTCTTTCCTTGAGCTTTTGAGCGTCTATGAGAGCTTCGAGAAGCTTATCCGAGCTTTTTTCGAAAAGAAAATTCCTTTTTTGCTCCCGGTTTAATCGATTTCTTTTTTCAAAACTCCGAAAATGAAGGTTCTATTGAGATTTTCCTATATGTTCTTCAAAATTCAAGCTTTCTTCTTTTTTTTTGAGTAGTACGAAGTTCAATCCAATCTCAAATATTACGCAAAAAAAAATTGAAAAAAGGTTTTTTTTTTTGAAAAAAATTGAGACCGGGTTATGTTCCTTTAAAGGCGCATAGCCTAATTTCATTAACTGGCCTCATTGTTTTTTTTTTTGATTCGGTGTAGTCAAAGCTCTCATAATCTCAGGGGAATAGTTTTTTTCTTCATAGCCTATGCTCCTTTAAAGGCGCAGAGCTTGTATTCTCTCTATTTTCGTGTACGAAAAATGCTGAGAAATCACGGTGCTTACAAATGAAAATGACAAATCAATTAACATGGTCATTAGAAGCTTGATTTATGGATTGCAGCCAAAATGTATTCTCTTGAATTTCAGGCCGTGCTCCTTTAAAGGCGCAGAGGTTGGATTTTTCGTAAAACCCTTTTAGAAAAAGTTAAAAATCTTAGTGATTATAAAGTCATGGTAAGAAAGTGATTATCATGTCCTTTAAAGCCGAAAAGTTTGAAAACTGGCCAAAATTTATTTTTAAGCTTTTTTGGTTAAAGGCGCAGACGTCGGATTTTTAGCATATGCTTATTTAAAAAATACTCAAAAGCCTCATTTTTCACAAAATGAAGTTGAAGAATTAACTGTCAAGCTCATTCAGAGCCAAAAAGTTTTAAAACGGTGTAAATTTTTTTGAAGCCATGCTACTCTGATTAAAGGCGCAGAGGTCATATTTTTGGCGTCATCATGTACAGAAATTCGAAAAATCAGTAGTCACCAAATAAAAATTTCATTCAAGGCCTGCTCTTCTTATTAAAGGCGCAAAGGCCTGCGAATTCCCACAGCGATTTCTATTTAAGGAAACGTCTGAATAGGCGGGAACCAAATAGACTATATAGAATTACTCGAACCGATATCTCGAGCCAACAAATGGGCAATTCGTGTTGACAAGTATCATGTGTCCACATAATTAAATTCTTCTTTCTTTTTCTTCTTTTTTCCCCCGACCCCACTTCCTAGTGCTTTCTTCTCGATTTCATTCTTTTTCTTCTTTTTTTCTTTCCCTTATTCTTTTTTTTTACAGATTCCCAAGGCGTTTCTCCGTCACGCGATCCGTCTCACGCCTCATTTCCACTTCAAATCATTCTTTTATTTCCCTTCCATAAATTATTTTCTAACGATTTTTTGGTATTCCGATGCATTTTCTTTTTGTCCATATGGTCCTTTTTCCCTCCCCGCCAAACACAAGTGTTTTTTCTTATTTTTATGGGTTGAAGAGTAAATATTTTTCAATTTTTATCGATTTTTTTGCGAGACTTTGTAATTTTCAATGATTTTCGATACCTTTTGAGTGTTGTATGGTGGATTTTCATTTGTAGAGGTTTGGTTTTGTCGTTTTTTTGAACTTGTATTTTTTTTTGAGCTTAAAGAACTTTATAGAAAAAAAAATTTGAGGCTTTTCGGATTTTTTATTAAAGTTTCAAGACCCATTTTTAACGGTTTTTCTTTTTTTGGTATAATTTTTGATTTTTTTAGTAGTTTTTGAAAAAAATCTTTCCTTATCAGAACTTCAAGCGTTTTCTTCGAAGTTTTTCAAGAAAAAAACTAAATTTTCTGGAATTTCATAATTTTTTTCACTTGCCTTAAAATGGTGAGGATTCTTGACGATTTTTTTCAAAAAAATAATATTGTGTTTTTTTATTGAATTAACACAAGCAAGCGATATATGAACTTGAATTTTTGTTTGAAAAATTAAAAAAAAATTTTTCTGACTTTTTGATAAGCATTTCGAAGATTTTTAAAAAAACTTGGATTTTTTTAAACTTTAGCTCAAAAATTCTCAGGAAAAATTAAATTAAAAAGTATATTATTTGATTGAAATTAGTTTTTCGACAGCTTTTTTTCCAACCAAAATAGTGGATATAGATTTTTTTATAGACGCTAGAACACGGGCAAAGTCCAAAAGGTCTCAAAAGGAACTTTTTTTCTAGACCTTTTTCTGAAAAGGACCTTTTAAAGAGTTCTAAAAAAATAAGGCGGAAAAAAGGAGATTCCGAGAAACGTTTGACACCTTTTTGGGAACTCAAAAAGGAGCCTAGACTCTTCTTTTAGGCTTTTTTAAGGTCGTTTGGACTTTGTCTGTGAAATATTTTTTCACTTTGAAAAAAAGGAAGGTAATTTCACTCTAAGAATCGTATTTTTCTAAAAGTTGGCCAGAACACTCATTGATGTACCAGATGAAGATTCTGAAAATACCATTTTTCAAAACTTCCTAATTTTTGAAAAAAGTGGCCTATTTTTATCGATTTTGTCAGTTTTATTCAATTTTGAGGAGTCCTCTCTCGAAAACTAGCAATTTGTGCAGGTTGGAACTTTCAGAATCTTCTTCTGGTACAGCAAGGAGTGTCCTGGCCAAATTTCAGGAAATTCCCCTTGTGAGGTCCTGCGTGTCAAAATCACTTTTCACATGTTCCAACTTCCGTTCTTATCGAATAGGTTTCCCACCGAAGTTATCAATCACTCCCAGGTGTTCACCAAAGACGCGAAACTCGTGATTTCTCCCCCGTTCGATCATTTTTTGGCCCGATACAATCTGTTGAATCGAAAGTTTACACTGTAAACTTGCACTAGGTGCAACTTTTCCCAAATTTCTCTTTTTTTCTTGTTATAGTCCATTCGTCCTGGTTTTTAATTTCATTATCGAAGTAACTCGTTGCGGTCGCGACGCGGTTTTTGGCGCGAAATTTAAATTTTGAGTTGAAAGTTTGCAAAAAAGCGGTTCTATTACTTCATAGTAGTAAGATTAGTGGCCACTTAAGTGGCTGAAATTTAGTGGTCCCTTAAGTAGTAGAACTACTGGATCATTAAATGTTCAAAGATCCCTTTAGGGATCATAAAAACTAGTTCAATTAATCATTTTTTGGACTTATCAAAATCAATGGCCATGAAAAGTAATCTAAAAAGATTTTTCGAGTTTTAAATCGGTTTTCCCGCCAACAACCGTGCCGCGACCGCAACACTCAGGAAAGGTGGAAAAGGCTCCTTTTTGCGGCCTTTTCGCGCCAATTTCTCAGCCCTTTTGCACCATTTTTGCTGCCTCTGAACTTTCCATTAATTTTTGAGCCTTTAAAATCTCAGAAATAGGAAAGGCTCCATTAAGGGACCTTTTTGCTGCCTTTTAGCGGCCCTTTTGTGGCCTTTTTGCTCCCTTTTTGCGGCCTTTTTGTGGCCTTTTTGCGTCCTTTTTGTGGCCTTTTTGCTTCTTTTTTGTGGCATTTTTGCTGCCTTTTTTGAGCCTCTCAGCGGCCATTTTCCACCGTTCCTAGTTTTCCCGAGAGACAAGTTTTAACGTAGATTATTTTACGGTATACCAGTAATTTATATGAAGGAAGCATAAATATTGCATTTTTTGGAAAAAGGCTGACGAACCCTTCCATTTCATTTTCCTGCAAAATGACCGCGAGATTCGTTGGAATTTCTTTAATTCTCTTTTTCATGATCCGCCTTTTTCGATTTAATGAATCCTTAACATCAAAAACATTTCGCGACGTTTAGGAATGTCGTCGCCGGAATCGTTGGCGACGCAACTCGCCGAGTTCCGCGACAAATTCGCCGAGTTGCATCCGGAAAGCTCGGAAGAAGACGAGTGCTGTGCCGTCCGTCAGCGGGCTGTCCAGTTCATCAGGGTGAGTCCCGGTTTTTTTTCTTCGAAAACGAGTTTTCTAAATGATCATTTATAATAGTGAACTCTTATTTCGGGAAAATCGTGGAGAGGTGTTGGTGGTGTTTGGAAGGTTATTGGAAGGTAAATAAAAGTAAAAAAGTAAATGAGGTAGTTGGAAGGTAAAAAATGAAATATTCCGGCCATTCTGCCAGTTTTTCAGTAGGTTTTCAAGAAGCTGTGTATAGTCAATTTGTTCCGAATTGAAAGGCGAGATGTGTAGAGAGGAAAGGGCAAAGCGTTGCGTAAGTGACTTTTTTGCGGCTTTTTTCAATCAAATCATTTATTTTGTTGTTTTAGTCTGATGTAATCAACTAGGCGGTGAACAAGAACTTTGAAAGCTATAACGAACAACCGCCATTGGCGAACTACAAGTCCAAACGTGTAGTCGAAAGAGTTGAAAGAATGGTCTGACGGTCCTTCGCCTCGTCCTTCTGCGCGTAGTCCATCCAGTTGCGCCTTGACGAGCTCAGAATGTAGTGGATGGTGTAGCTGGAGCCCGGAGGCCGTGCTTTAGGTGGAAGCCTCAGAATGAGAGCGACCACTTCGAGTGAAGATTTTACACGGAGTTTTCTCTCTTTTGCGGCCTTTTTTTAGTGAATTCATTTAAAAACGATAGTTGAATTGAAAAGAATATTCACGTTGCATTAGAGACATTTGTGGTTGGTTTTTTCGTTGCTGGTAGAAATACACTGAGTTGAATCGGTAACCTGACAGTCAGAGGAAGATCATTCTCGCAGTGAAAAGAAAATAAAGTCGATAAATTTTTTGTCTCTACTTGAAACGGCGATGTCTGTGCAAAGTTTTTTTTTCCAATTCAAAGTTTTTGGCATTTTTTGATTTTTCTCAACATTCTTGTTGAAGAAACCAAGAAGGTCTTCTGACATCTGATCGAAAAAAATGAAGATGATATTCCAAAACATTGCGACCGCTTTGCACATGATTTTCACGCGTTTTGCCGTTGCAAGTCAAAAAATATAGTTTTTTCGTCGTTCCGAAAACTTTTGAGCCATTTTCTCCCGGACCAAGATGATTTTACAGGCCGAAATCCCGGCAATCGACGAACACGCGGTCCCCGTGACGAAAGCCGCCTATTTCCTGGCCTGTGGCCGGCTTCTCAACGTCAGCCATTGTTTCGACCCCGTCGCCGAGGTTCTTCTCAGCTCCGCCGTCAAATTAGGCGAGTTTCCCGAGGATCATATCATTGATAATTTGAATAAGAAGACTTAAAATTTGAAAAATTCTTGCAAGAAAATTTCAGAAACTTTTTTATGTAACCTTTTTTGCACTAACGATCGTTTCAAAGGCCTGAAAAATTAATTAAAAAAATTTCTGTTTATCAAAAATAAAATATTTTTCGTTTTTTTAGATTCTTTCACTGTTTCAACGTATTTTTTTAAAATTCTAAAAAAATCCACTAGTGATTCAATTGGCCTTGTTTCTTGTCAACTACGATAATTAATACGCTGATTATTTGGAAAGTTAGGCCGTGTTTTTTATTTGTGAAATACGGCCTTTACGATAATCAGGCCATTCGTTTTTTGATTTTCTCAACTACTAAAAATGATAGATTAAAGAAACGGGAGCGAAAAAAATAAAAAGTTAAAGTGAAGGTCGAACTTCACAAATGGAAAACATGGCCTAACTTTCGTAATGACCGTATTTCACAAATAACAAAAATGGCCTAACTTCCGTAATTTCCGTATTTTATAAATTAAAAAAGACGGCCTAACTTTCGTGAATGCCGTATCTCACAAATGGTACAGACGGCCTAACTTTCGTAATTGCCTTGCTTCTAGACCCATTGTTACACGACGCCTGGTTCGAGCTCGGCCAATGTCTGACCAAAAAACCCGATATCGAATTCGCTGTTTCCTGTTTCGAGGTCGATTTATTATCATTTTCCTTGTGATTTTCAATCAATTTGCAGGAGAGCATACGGTTACAAAAATCGGGAAATGTGATGTCGGCGATGGCCGTCGCCCTGAGGTCCCAGGCGAGTCGCTGCGAATCGGACGCCGAGAAAACCGCCCTCAGGTTCTTTTTTTATTGATATTCATAGTAGGATCTAAGATTAAAAGTGTTTTTGATCTTAGAAACCGACGCTCCTATTTTTCGAATTTTTGAGAAGATCCATCAATTTCCAGAACAAAAGCCCTGACGTTGGCCCGAGAAGCCGTCGTGATAAATCCGACCTCTGGAAACGGATACCTCGCCTTGGCCACCGGATGCTTCGTCGAATTTTTCTCCTCTTCCCAGACGAAATTCCCGTTTCTGGTTCGTTTTATGTTTAATATTTCGATGAAAAGTTGATCAAAAATTTAAAGGCGCATCCCATAAAGGTCTCATGACGAAATACCGGTTTTAGTTTTTCTTACTGAAAAAAGGTCAGAATGAGGTTTTCTCACACACACAAGAGGTTCTCACCTACCATATAGGGGCTAAGCTTGCAAAAGTATCCACTTTAGGGTTTTTAGGTAGTGACCCCTATAGAGGCATTAAAAATGAAATTTTTCTGACGGAAAATTTTTTTGCACTGATTGCTATCTTCCCAGGAACAATTGAAGATGAGTTTTTTCCCGATTTTCCATTCAATATCCCGTTTTCAGGACGAATCCATCAAGTATTACGGGAAAGCTCTGCAATGTCCCGACCAGACGAGAAATCCCGAACTTCATCTCAATTTCGCGACCGCTTTGAGGTGATTTTATTGGAAATAGGCAATGAAATTTCGTTCCTTAAACATTATCATATCAAGATAATAGAGAAAAAATAATTGAGGCAAGCAATTTCGAATGGAAATTTTCAACTTTGAGGGGAATGTAGATTTTTGCAAATTTACAATGATCTTGAGGTGAATTTTTAGGATTGTAGCCTTTTTGACCGTTTCTTGGAGTAAATTTTAAAAAAACGGTTTTTTTTAAGATACCGAGAAGACTTCGGATCGGCCTTACAACACCTGAAAGAAGCCGTGAAGTTAGATCCGCGAGATTCCTTGAACTCCCGCCAAAGATTGACGGCCCTCGTCAATTATCTGGAAAAGTTCTCCGATGCCGTCGAGAAAAAAGGTTTTTGTCTAAAATCTTTGGAAAAAATTTATTTTGATGTTTCAGGCCGCCTGAAGATGAAAAGACTTCAAACCCTGGTGGCGGCCTTGCAAGCCTCCACCTGCGCTTTCATCCAATCTTCCGAGGCGAAGAACTCCCTCGCCGTCGCCACGAAGTCTATCGACGACCTTCAAATCGGCCCCAATCTCAACACCATCATACATGCCAAGATAGTCGCCACCATCCCCCACGATGACATCGTTCCTTTGTGAGTAGTTCTCGGCTAACTCGGGGCTCCAAAATGGTCCCTCTAGGGGCAACCTGAAGAGCCCTGGAAGGTTTTCTTTTGTAGACCACTTTGCTTCTCCCTATAGGGGCGTTAAAGCTAGGAAAAAGGGACCACTCTAGGGTCTTCTTGGCTAAGAGGCAAAGTGACGTTTTTCACTTAAAGACCACTTTAGGGTTTTTAGTTATTGGCCCCTATAGGGCAAATTCTAGTCGATTATTATTTGAGAAACTTGATAAATTAGCGTCTTTGAGTGAATCGTGTGAACAGAAGATGAACTGATCAAAATTGCTTTTTAAATTGCAAATCTGAATGAAAAAGAGAAAGACCCGATAGGGACCACTTGAGCTTTTGGGGACTCACGGGTCAGACTTTAAGCCCCTATAGGGACCACCTAAATGGGAACTTTTTTCTCCTAACCCCTGAAGGGACCACTCTGGCGTCCCTGAGAAGACCATAGGGTTCCTTGGCTAACTGGGAAAATCTTTAGTGGCCACTATAGTGGCTCGCCAAGGACTACTTGGAGAAGACACTAAAGTGGCCACTAAACCCACCTCTATAGTGGCCACTATTTTCCGTTTTAGTGGCCACTATAGAGGTTTTCTATTTAATAGCCACTTCAGTAGTTTTTCATTCAGTATTCCTTCCAGTAACTCTGATAATTTTAAAACGAACAGATTGGACCAGTTATGTTGATCCATTGGCCCCTAAAGTGGCCACAAAAATTTTCAGTGGTCTAGTAGTAGCACTTAGACCTCTATAGTGGCCACTAACACTTCCTAGGAGGTCCAAGGGGTTTCTGGTTCAGATCAGAGATAACAGGACTTAAATTCTGAAAGATGTTTATAAAATCTCTGAAAACAATGGTTTGTCCAAAGAAATTCTCGAAATCTCAGTTCTATCCGTGTTATATGAATCTCAGAACCTTCGTGGTTTGCGACGTGAACGAACGATGTTGCGCGGTGACGGTCTACAACTGCGCTCCGAACTTCGGATTCGTCATCGGCGACACGATCGACATCGCAGAACCTTTCCTGAAGGAGGCTGAGGTGATTTTTTTGGTGAAAATGGTTCACAAATGGATTTTCAGTCAAATTTAGTTACTTTGGTCTGAAATTTATGAAAAAGGGGGAAAAGTCAATAAAAATTGGATGAAAAAAAATTATTTCGAGTTTTGAGGCTTTAAAATTTTATTCCCCACTAGCTTGAGACAACGGGTCTTGACGCGATTGACGAAATAGTGTGGGGAATTGAGAGATTTGGACGTTTTTTTGAGTTTCCGTATCGCAAGATAAATACGAAATCGTAACCTTTTTATTTTTTTTTCGGCCCTCAGACATTGATTTTTAGCAATAACTAGGGCTCCCAAAAAGTGATATTTTCAAATTAGCGCCAAAAGCGCGGCGCCTCAAGTCGCGAAACATGAGTGAAATTGAAGAACATCGAGCTGAGCACATCTTGCGACGCGACGACATCGCCGACGCGAGCGATACCGCTCCTGCGATGGATTCGCGTCCGGTCGCCGCGACTTCTGTGTCGCAACGGCCAACCCACCGCGAGTGCCGTCGTCGCCCCCACGCAACTGACCATCGAGTCGTAATTTTCTACTTCATCTTGAAAAAGTCTGACCTCTCTGCGCCCTCTCCTATTTCTATACCTTCCTCAGCGAGAGAAAAGAGGGTGCAGACTACTCAGACCGTCTCAAGATGACACTTTATTGATCGAATCGAGATTTATTTGGGTTTTCTCCACACCATTCCTTTTTCTGACAGCATGACATTTTCGAGGCGATGTTTTTTTGATCTTCAAAAGCTTCGGGATGATCTCTAAAAATTTGAAAAAAAATAACTTTTATTCCTAAAAAAATGGCTGAGACCGTTTTCTAGCAAGTGTGCTCCATGGAGAAAGGTGATTTTTTGGATTGAAATTTTTGCAAGAAATCGTTTTTCCCAAAAAAGTATTTTCAGAGCCGCGAAAAAAAGTCTAGAAAGCTTTAAAAAAAAAGGAAAAAAATAATAACTGAGGTTATAATCCAACATGTGCGCTCCATGGATAGTATCGTCAAGAATGTGATTTTTCGACATGATATATTTGAAGGACTTTCATGTTTCAGTTATTATTTTAGAGTCGCGATAAAAATTCTAAGAATTTTTTTTTTTGACCAACTTGAAAGACTTTTGGAGCTTGCTCAACCCGAAAAAAGTCGCAAAATTGATTTCCCAACATGTGCGCTCCATGGATAACGTCGGTAATAAGTAATGATTTTTTGATGTAATTCAAGAACAATTTTTTTGGAAGGTATTTTTATTTTTCGCGGCTCTTTTTACAAAAATTGTATCTACAGTTCGTACTTCGAACTATCCCTAAAAAGTTCAGTTATACTGAATTTCCTTGGACCCGGTTTTTTTCTTCTTCTTTCGATTTTTCATTCGACAGTGATCTCTTCTTTCACTCTTCTTCTCCTATTCCATGTATTTTTTTGTACTTTGAATATTACATTTCGCACGGCTCGGTGCTCTGTTCATAGAGAGTTTATTTTGGGTAGATTCAGGAAATAAAGAAATTTTATAAGTCTTGTAATTCCGGTTCCTGATAGGAAAATGTGGATTCAGTGAGTTATCGTCGTTTTAAGGATGGATTTTCTCTGAAAAATGGAGATTATCTTTTTCTGGAAAATTTTCTAGTGGTCACTATAGAGGCTCGCCAAGGACACTAAAGTGGCCACTAAACCAAACTCTATAGTGACCACTATTTTCCGTTTTAGTGGCCACTTCAGTAGTTTTGGCCACTTCAGTAGCCAGTAACTCTGATAATTTTAAAATAAACAGATTGGACCAGTTATGTTGATCCATTGGCCCCTAAAGTGGCCACTTAAACTTTTAGTTGTCTAGTAGTAGCACTCAGACCTCTATAGTGGCCACTAATTTGACTACTATAGTGGCCACTAAAAAATTTTCCAGTTTATGAGAAAAAGGAAACTTTGAAGCCGGGAGGATCAACTTTCGGCATTTTGGTCAGGTCCTCTTCGGGTCGTTGAGTTGGAGGTCGGTGCCCGAAAAACTCTAAAAAAGGAGGTAAAAGTCGTTAGAAACAGTGTTGCTGATGAGACGGGACAACCCGGAGCGACCCGCCTTCACTTATTTTCAGATTCGCTTCTCCCGGGGTGCACCAGTTCAACAGCTCCTATTAGAAATATGGGCGAACCCTCTGCCGACATGACTCCGGACTCCACTGGCGACGACGTGACGGCCGAAAAACCCTGTTTCAGGGCGAAGGAGCCGACTATGATTGGCTCATCTTCGGGGACTGGAAAAAAACTTCGGAATTTCGAAGAGGTGCTCTCATCTGTCAGACCGTACAAGCTCTCATCAAAATCTACCAACAAGGAAATTCGAGAACTTGTTAAAAATTCGTTGAGAAGCTCTCTAGAGCAGTAACACTAGAAAAATAATAACTCCAACTTCTCATGATTTAAAAGAAAAACTGACAAGATTGAGGCGGATCTTTCGGTGAGGCTCGTTTCTTAGAGTCGTTGAGGATGTTCAAACCTGGTCGACTGAAGAATAATTCGATTCAGAACGTGTCGAATATTTCATACCTCAGAATCTGCTTGCAGATAGAATGAGATGAATCAGAATCCAGTAGGACATCGAATGATTTTCTTTCCGGCTTTTTCTTCTCATAAGGCGCTGATCTGACTCGATTCTTGGGCTTTGCTGAGTTCTTTAAATATTATGGATGTGATTTTTTTCAGGGATCTTCCCTTGGAATGTCCTGAAAATTTGTCAGGACACTTCCTAATGGCCAAGGAGTAAGTTCTGAAAGTCCTAACCTTCACAACTTTCTGGTTTTTGGAAACAGACAGCTCAAATTTAAATCAAAGCCCGTAAAAAAGATCATTTTCTTGGAGATGTCATTTTTAAAAAAATTGAAGATTGATACTTTCAGGAGACTTCCAAATTTCAGAAGAATAACAGCCTCTAAGTAAAGTTATTTTCCTTGTAAGGTATTTTCGAAGCTTTTAATATGATATTCTCCAGTTTTTTGAGTTTTCTCAACTTCTAAGGAATCTTACAAGCTTATGAACAGGCTTCTCAACGAGGCTAGACCCACTAGACGCAGTTTCAAAATAATTTCGAAAAATTCAGAGACCCAACTTGCAAAAATAGCCCGTAAGAACGGTAGTCTTTGCTAAGGAGAATTTTTCACTAAGCAAGGACCCTTGAAAAAAAAACCTTAATCATAGTCTGTGTGCCACGACTTGAAATTTCACGGAACGACGTTCCGCTGTTCCGCTGCGGGCGTTCGCGAAGCGTCTTTCGAATCTCGGTCACGCTTTCAAATGATTGTTATTGCTGTGGGAGCACATGAAAGTAGAGTATCTTGATGAAAGGAAAAAATAAATTAAAAGCGCGACCAAGGTCCGCAAAGGCGCGCAGCGGAACAGCGGAATGTCGTTCCGTGAAATTCCAAGTCCTGGTACACAGGCTATAATTCTTTGATAGAAAGTTTATCAGTTGCTGCTAAATTCAAAAAAAGGTTTTTTCGATTTTTCGGTTTCAAGAGGCATTGAAGGCATTTTTTGAGATAATATTCGGAAGCGGCATGAAAAACTTCATCAAAGGACTTTTTTTCTACCATTTCCTGGATTAAGTCACGAAAAAAAGTTCGATCTACCGATTCCCAGCAATTTTATCCTCGAAGTGGATTTTTTGGGTCAAAAACGTTCAACTTATAGCTGATTCACGGCTGGCTTGAGACATCAAAAAAAGTCCTGACACGATAAAAAAGAGTGCATGGTTGGTGGAGAGGGCAAACAGGCCACGACTGAAAACCAACCTTTGCATGGAAACCTTTTCCCAGGCATTTTCTGCGGGATCTTCTCATCCAGCGTACTGAAAACGTTGCAGGTCACGCCGGGAAAATACTTTTTCCACAGTAATCTGAATATCTCGAAATGATATCGAAACATCGATAAAATTGACTTGAATCCGGCTTCGATGTTCGCCAAAGAAACCTTTCGGACCAAGTTTTCTTGGGCCAGCTCCACGACCTGAATGGGATTAGTGGGAAAAAAAATTAGGTATAGTCTGTTCAGATTTTAAATGTCAGGTCGTCGCTCAAGCTCCGCCCATAATGGTGCGATAAACCAATCAGAGAGCGAGCCATCCACAGAGCGTTTTTGAATGACGTCATTCTAATTGACATTGAAAATCTGAACAGACTATATTTTTTTAATTTGGCTTACTGTAGAAAATAATCAATCAATCGTTATTATTTTCACTCCTTGTCCATTATATGTCGCACTTTTTTGGTCTTTTTCAATTTCGAATGATAAGATTGCCTTTATCCGAGCCTAGGCAGTTTTAAGCTTAGCCCTCGAAAAAAGGTCCTGGCACGAAGAGGAAAAGAGAGAGCGCCTGGTTGGTGGAGAGCGCAGACAGGCCACGCCCCGTATCTTTAGGAACGCTAAAGGAACGCTATCCCTATAGGAGCACCCTTAGGATCGATTGAAGGTCCCCCTTTAGGGACAAGCTTACGGTAAGGTGGTCCCTAAAGGGGACCAAGTGGCTAAAACCAACTGGTATCCTCAAAAACCATAAGGGTTCTCGAAAAATCGACTTTTCGGTTTTTTTTTTAGTCAAAATTGTCATTCTTCAGTTCGTTCATATCCCGGCTCAAAATGTTCTGAACGGGGTAAAATTACGTTTTTAACGTTTTCCAGGAGGTGTTCTCTCAAATGGAACCATTTTTTATCTTCAAGAACCCATTAAATCAACTATTTTGACCTGTATATGGATTGTTGTTCTCCGTAACCCCTTTAGGGACCACTTTCACCATCTCGGCTTCCTGTTCGATGTAAAGAAGGAACAAACCATCTTGAACTTCTCCATTTTTCTGCCCTGGGCGTATGTTTCAGCCCATTGCAGATAGAATGGAAGTTGGCTTGTGAAGCGGTTTTGATTGTGCAGACGTTTGTATATTTCCGTCCTGCTTTCGCTGTTTTTCGCCTATGAATTCGTTCATTTTCAATTGGAATTCTTGTCATGATCTTCTTGAAATATAATCCAAATATTGATTATTTTCAAGGAAAATGTGTCTAACGGACGGGTTAAACGTGATCTTTTCAGACTGTATAGTTTATGATTAATATACTGGGGAAAGGATTAGTGGGGGGGTTTGTGACCACTTCAGCTTTCTCTCAAGCTCTTCAGGAACCTCTTAAAGGCATAGGGGCAGTAAAAAACGGTGTTTCAGTTCAAAGCAGTACTTTGTAGAGTTTTTCATCGCGAATCGAACGGTGAACTTAGAAAAGTACCAAACTTCTTAGTTTTGAAGAAAAAATAATTCAAAGTCGGAGAGAGGAAAGTTTGAGTTCCTGCAAAAAGGGCGCCTTGCAGTAAAGTTGCTCTATTGACAACAGGCTGCGCCATTTTTCGGATTTTCGCTTTTTTTTTCTTCGTTTCTTTCGAATTTCAATTTTTTCTGTTGTCACCAAAGTTCTTCTCGTCACAGAAGCTTTCTAGTCATGGTAAATTTGCAAACTTTGATCGCAAAAATGCTTCTCTGGTGAAAAATGATGATTTTACACAGGTTTCGATGGGGAGAGCCCCTTAAGCTTTTCCCCAGTATGGTCTGTAATGCATTTCTTCCATACACATTCTACACTAAATTCCTTGTTTCTTTTTATTTTTATTCATTATCTTTCCCACTTTTCAAAGAGTTGACTCTCAATTTAAAAAAAAAACTCCCTGAAATGGAATTTTTCGATCCTTTCACTGTGTCTTGATTTTTTAAGATCAAGAATAACACTCACGATGATTTTCAAAATGCTCAAAAGTGCTTCGCTTTTGAGGAATCTTCCGTTTTTCGAGCACACTTGGAAGACTGCGAGAGCTTTTTTCCTGACTTCGGGATATTCTCCCCGTTTGTCAAACCCTGCCAATTGTCTGCAAAAAAAAAAATTCAAAAAAAAAAAAGACAGTTCTTCTTGATTTCCTACCGTAGTGTTTCTTCACAGTCGTGATGCGGCTTTTGGCAGGAAAATCGAATTCAAATCCGAGCGCGGGAAAAAAAAATTCGTTTAATCAAGAATGCAACTGGCATACCATCACCTCACCAGAAAATATCGAAAAACCATCATAAAACCCGGATCGATCTATATTTTCATACTTCGCGCCAAAAACCGCATAGCCACGACAAAATTTCAGCGACCACGGCATTCCTAATGGAGTGAGAGAAGGTGAGCGAGGCGTCAAAGTTTCTGAATTTACCAAAAAAAAGTAAGTGCGCGCTTCGGATAAAAGGGCTGTGACGTCACAGCTACCTATCGTTGCAAATTAAACTGAGTATTCAACGGCATGAAGAATACATTTGGCTGCGTACTTGAGATTACAAATTTCGCGCCAAAATTTTTTTGACGTCCTCCCACCCCGTTTGGGAACGCCGTGTTTTATAAGTTTCGAAAGAAAGAAAAATCACATCGCAAAGCAGTTCAACGAAGTTTCGTCAACGTCGGGCCCCATAACGTTTTCATAAAGAGTTTGAAGGACCTTTAGTGAAGAAATTGTCATTTCATAAAATGACGGTTTCACCAAAGGAAGCACCTTTTTGTACTAACACGTGAGCGTGGATATTTTTATTGCTTGAAAAAAAAGAGGACTTGAAGAATAACCAGAAGTTTTATCGGTCGTTTTCTCGAGCAAGTTTACCGAAACAAACGTTTCTTTCACCTAGGTTCTAATCTCCGATTACAGAAGGAATCAATCCTTTCATCAATCAGAAACTTTAGTCTTACAAAACAGCCCTCCAAAGCTTTTTCAAATGTGATTCTACAGTCTGTTCAGATTTTGAATGTCAAGTAGTCACTGAAGCTCCGCCGCCTAATGGCGCGATAAACCAATCAGAGAGCGAGCCATCCACAGAGCGTTCTCGAATGACGTCATTCTACTTGACATTCAAAATCTGAACAGACTATAGAATAACAACAAACAATCTTTTTTTGTTTTGTTCTAGAACTCAAATCATGCCTTTTTCAATCGTCTTCCCTTAACCGTTTTTTGGATTTGCAGTGAACAGAACTTTTCTCATAAATTTATTGAATATTACCATCTGGAAAAAGTTTGTTCTAGTTTCTTGCTCGGCGATTTGAAGTCGCTTTGAAGGTTTCCTGCAAAAAAGCGCAGAAAACCAGAGCGAAAACGAAAAAACCAAAAGAATTTTTAAAAAAAGATAATAAAAACCCTTCGAGAACTGTTTGAAAAACCATCTAATACTTCCATCAAAACAGAAATAACTTGATGGAACTTCAAAGAAGAGCAAAAAACTCACTGAGGGGAATGAAACAAAAACAACCCCCATCTTCTTGCTGACTTTCTTAAAATTTCTTCTAATTTTTTTAAACGGTTTGTTGCTGTTTTTCAATGTTTAAATTCCCCTTTTTGAAAAATTGGTTCTGTTAGAGGTCGTTTCGGCCCCCGAACTGTATTACTATTCGTATTGAATAAAAGATGATGATGATGATGAAACAGCTAACTGGAAGAAAAGCAAAAAACTCACCGAACTGAAACAAGAACCTACTTTCTCCTAGTAAAGTTTTGACGAAGTAATTTGAAAAATTCAAAGAATGAAACACTTCCAAATATTCGTAATTATCAAAAGTAATCAGTTTAAAAAAAAGAAAGAAAAGATAATGAAAAAGGTGTGTTCTCTTCACCGAAAAAGGGAGGAAAGACAACGCGACGCCGCCGTCTGCTCGCCTCGGCCTCATCCCAAAAGCGCTGCTCTCGCCGAAACGAGCAAGTCGGTTGGCGTCGGGACACGCAGCAACGTAAGAAGGACTCGTTTCCATCGTTCAGTATCGCTTCTCGGCCTATTGGCTAAGATCAAAGTGTAGTATCTGTTCTTATCGTATTAACCTACGGTATGTGCTCGAATGAGTACAATATAGGTTAACTTATTTTTGCAACCGAGAGTGGATCCGGAGCTTGCTCCGACCGCTCAAGGGTCGTCCCAGCGTTGCACTGCTGCAGGGCACGGCCCAGACCTCCCCGGGGGTCAAAAAGAAATATGAACGTGAAAAAAGAAGTATTTCACAAAAAATTAGAGAAGCTACGACCCTATCTCGCTAGTAATAGTCCATTTTTAGATATCGTCGGAGTTCACCAATCTCTCTTTCTCTAATTTGGAGACAAGTGTCACTCACGCCGAGGCTCATCTTAGCGTTGGGTGCATATTTGATTCTATTTTTTTAAATTATTTTTATGCCAAAAAAAGCCTCTGATCTTTTCCAAGAAATACTCACAAAGGAACGATTTACTTGGCTGGAATGGTGGCGACTATCTTTGCACGTATTAATGGTTCAGTGCCTATGACAAGATGAGTCTCGAAATGGAAGCCGATGGCAAAAGGCCCAAGGGTCGACAGAATCAACGATGGTTGGGCACGTTACTTCAAGACCGGAAAGCGACAAGTCTAAACCCT